CGGGAGCACGCCGCTGACCGACCCCGTGAAGCCCACCGTGCCCCTGGCCTTGATGAGCAAGGCTGCAAATTCACGCGTCACCGCCATGGGGGCAAACACGTTGACTGCAAAACATTGTGCCACCGCGGCGTCCGTCGCGTCCATGGCCGCCATGGTACAGGCCTGGCCGGCGTTGTTGTATAGAATGTCGAGCCTGCCGTCGTTGTCGCTGCTGATGTGGCTGCACATTCTGGCCACGGCGTCTGTTTGTGTCACGTCGCAGACAAGCGTGTGAATGCCGTGGGCTTCCAAGGGCGCCATGGGTGCAAGACGCCGGGCGCACGCGTATACCTTGTAGCCTCTTTTTGCAAACTCCACTGCGGCGGCCAAGCCGATGCCGGACGAGGCGCCGGTGACGAGCACGACTTTCTGGCGCGCCATTTCTACGATTTACGGGCTATGTAGGGTGCTGGGGGTGGTGGCAAAAACGGCTGGTGCCAGGCCCAGAAGGCCGGTGAGCACTGGCCGCGGTGCGCGCACGACCGCCGCTGCTGGCGTCGCTATAAATGGCAGCCCCCAGAAACTGTTCTGGGTATATAAAAAAAGGCAAGGCGGAGGGGGGCTTTGGCTTGGGCGGCGCTGGAATTGCTGTCCCTGGTTTTATAGGGGTGGCTGGGTTTGGGGACAGAGGGGCCTGGGTTGTGGTCATGCCTCTGGTTTTCATCTGCACCAGGTATCGGGTCCCTGCAGGCCCGATCCTCCACTACTGTTTTGAAATCTGGCAGTGTGGTGTGGATGTTCTGGTAAACAGCTTGGGTCATATCCTCTTCAGATGTTCTGGGATACAAGATGTATGTTTTTATTTGAGATGTTCTAGTATCCAATATTGGCTATATAATCATTTGGGATGTTCTAGGATACAAGATGTATGAGATTATTTGAGATGGGCTGGGATACAAGATGTATGTTTTTATTTGAGATGTTCTAGTATCCAATATTGGCTATATCATCATTTGAGGTGTTCTAAGATACACGAAGTATGATATTGTTAGGATGTATGATGTTTCTATTTGAGATGTTCTAGTATTCAATATTGGCTATATCATCATTTGAGATATTCTAGGATACAAGATGTATGATATCACATCTAAGATGGACTAGTATCCAAGATGTATGATACTATTATTTGAGATATTCTAGGATACAAAATGTATGATATGACCATCCAAAATGGTCTGGCATAAAACATGGACTATATAATGCTGAAGTCTGCTTTGAAACTATAAGCCTCCCAGAGCCTTGGTCCATGTTGTAGACAGTCTTAGTATGCGTATACCGGGATTTTCTTGGTAGCATCTAGGGGTGGTGAAAACACGTGAACGAACAGTAACATGGTATGGACCACATCAGTGAAGCTTAGCTTATGCTAACGGGAATCAATCAAGATGTAAACCTATGAAGAGGTGTTTCCCGTAAAGTAGGAAAAAAAGGAGACATGAAGTTTTTGATGTCTTATATGGCTGACCACTGAGAGAGTGGCTTCGCCTCAGAGTACGTCTCAACTACCATACGGTCGTGTCATCTATCTCAACCTATCAGCATCTAGGATTTTTTAGTACGCAATATGGGCTGTTTCATCATTTGAGATGTTCTAGTACATATGTGGGATATGACCATCCAAGATGTTCTGGTATACCAGTATATTCTAAGGTCCCGGGTACCAGCTTCACAATGATGGTCCCGCATATATGACTGTATGCACTTCCAGTATTGTGAGTTCCGTCAGATATCATTTTGAGCAACTGACTGTATATTTCCTGGAGTCCTCGGGGTTCCGTTCACGTGACCTCTGGATGAAGAACAGAGTTGCATGGTTGTGGAAGAATGAGTGATCAAAATAGTAATACAGATTCTGATGTCCCGCATAGTCCCAAACGTGCATGACCATACTATGCACTGTGGTATTCTCGTATACTAGAGATATGGTGATAGTGGTATCGAAAATTATAGGGTGTGAGATACATGACACTCTGCTCAGATACTCAGTATACTTGGCTCATGAGATTCTGGCGTATGGTTTTCTAGTTAACCAGATTTATGACGATTAAACAATTGATTCCAGCATAAAAAATGTGCGTTTTTTTTTGTGCTAGAGTCCATATACTAAATGATTCGTACCCGACAATTGATTACTCTTTTCGAGGTGAGAAATACCTATAGTAGAATGGGTTGCTAGGCTTACCTCAAAATCTTAGGTATTGTCCTCAGCGCTTCTCCGGCGTTTGACTTGCGATATTCAAGGCTTTCACATCTGTTTCACGACAACTCGAAGTGAACTGTTTCTCTGCGTGCTAGACTCAAAAACGACACATCTCGTGTACTTATAAGAATCCAAACATGGCTTTTGTCGGAAAGAAAAGCCAATAGTCACTCTGCCAGTCCCAATCTCGATACAGCTCTCACTTCAGACACTATATAGTCACATTACTTTCAAAGCCATTGGATATGAAACAGGAGGCATTTCTCCTACGAGAGATTACCCGGGGTCAAAAACTTTTATTCGGAATCACCAGCAAAAGTCAGCTGGGAGGTAGATCTAAGGGAATTGATTGGAAGTAATGAGAGAACATTTGATAGTTTGGCATTTTAGTTCCGATATGTCAAAAGCAGGGATCAGCTTCTAGATGACTGCGCTTGATTAAAAACTCCATGATAAGATACAAGTTGACAGCATCTTGGAAGGAATAGTACAAAGAGACCACCCAGGGTGAGTCGCTTCCAGCCAAAACATCTCTTTCAGCCTTCACATGAGCCAACTGGTCTTTTTTGTACATTTCAGCCTTGAAAAGCGTTTTCATCGCATATATCTTACCAGAATCACGCTTTTGAACCAAGCGGACTTCACCAAACGCACCCTTTCCAATGACTTCCACCGTAGTGAAATCTTCTAAGGACAATCTTGTTCTCCTAAGACGCAAAAACTGGGATTCCTTCTTTCCGAGGTTCTGCAACTGTCTGTTTTTGCGTTCTTCACTCATTCCCGCCTCTTCGTTGGCTAGTTTGCTTTCTAACTCCAAGCGACGCTGATTTCTCTCAATAGCGTGGCTCACAGACATTTGATAGGCGGAATTTGCTCTATATTACAGAAATTTCTGAAGCAGGCTCTGATAAACGGCTTTTATTCAGGGATATTCAAGCAGTCAAATCACTATAAATTCTTGTCCATGACCTTGTTCTTCCCAGCCAGGAGAAGAAAAGGAAAACAACTCACGGCTCAGGGTGGTTTGAACGCCCGACTTTATCAAAAACTCTGACCGCAAGCCTTACGAATGTCCTAAAGAAGGTGGATATCGAGCTTCCGGTACATCAACAAATGCATCTGATCCTCAATTTGATAATACTTTGGTTAAGGCCTCTTTTTTCCCTACTCTTTGGCACAAGCAAGAAAAACTTGAACTATCTTTTCAATTAACTCTGGATTGGGCACCTTTCCTACCTCAGTTTTGCCTGAGAAATTGACATGCTCTGTCATCATTGACTATAGCACAGACCATAGAACTACCTGTGTTTGCAGATAATGCGGATGTAATCTCAATGGTATCCTAGCCGAAAATGCTGCAAGCAAAACCAAAGTTATCGAGTAAGCGTTGACGAAGAGAGTAAAGATACGTTTAAACATTGCTCTTGAATACGTCATGTCAATCTAAACATTAAAGTTCTGTCCCACAGCAGCTTAACGAGAAAACGGGCAATATCTCCCGAGGAATGGGCTTTTTTGAAATACATTTTCGAGAAATTGACAAGTTTAACTCGCGGGCCCGAGAAACAAAAGAAATGGTCTATGGGGCAGACAATGATCTTGCAAACCACTCTCGAAAAGCATGTCAGCTAGTACATTTTCCACCATGAGATCAGAGTAGTTCATCACATGGATATGGTGTTATCCAGACAGAAGATCATTTTTTTAGAAATTCGCCCAATTCAAAAAGGGATTTTGACACCCCAATCGGGTCAGCGTTTTTTACATTCTACATGTACCGCTACGAAAAACTAATTACTTTGACGCTTGGAAGGAAGTAGTAACTATGGCGCTTTACCAAAGATATTGTACATTTGCCGAAATGAATTGAATCTGTTGCATTCCCAGCTCAGGAAACAAAATACGTAGCCATGAAATATACCTCTGCGTCATTGAGCCGCAATGAGCAAGAAAGCAAACGCCTGTTTTAGGACAGCGATATCTTTGATTTTGTCCCGGGGAAAACCAGAAGAAACCAAGAATATACTGACTGGATGGTCCATATAAAGACGAGATAATGAGCTCTGTCCACATCCACCTCAAGATACGTCACCTTTTGAAAGGCATATTCGCGCATGTCTACAACAGCGAGTTCAGAGATACGATCGTTTTCAAAAGAGAGTCATGCAGATGATAACGGGAAGAGCACAAATCTTCCAAGCTCTTGCGACTGATTCAGTCACCGGCTCCGGGAGATTTACAGAGCACCTCATGGATTAGCCACCTGATTCAATAGAATCGTGTGAACACATGTCTTTGCTGCATGGCCTGGAGATTGAGGGGAAAATGCTTTTTAAATTAATCATTGCAACCAACCACAAAGGTTAGTGATGCACCAGAAATTTGGCTCCTATGAGCTGGTCGAGACAGTCGCAGACTATTTTGAGAATAACGAATTGAGGGGGATAGCCCTTGTTTTATCCTTGCAGACCTGAATAGCACGCGATGTAACTCTGAGGTGTGCAATTGAGAATTCGGCACCCTTTTCTGCTCTCCAACCTTCTTCAGAGCAATAAATGGGAATGCGGTCATAGCAGCTATACTTAAAAGCCAGTACTTAGCAGCCAGTACTTAGCAACCAGTACTTAGCAGCCAATGCCTCACAGCCAGTACTTATCTTCAGGGCTTAAGAGGCAGTATTTATCATCCAGGACTTGAGGCCAGTATTAAACAGCCAGGACTTAGCAGCCAATACTTCACAGTCAAAACTTAACAGCCCGTATTTATCCAAGACTTGAAAGCCATACTTAACAGCCAATGCTTATCATCCAGGACTTAAAGCCATACTTAGCAGCCATACTTCACGGCCGTACTTCACAACCAACACCCAACAACCAATACCTCACAGTCAATATCAGAATCTAATACTTCACATACCCAGCATCCATACTCAGAAGAACACCCCAGAGACACGTCCCAAAAGAACGTCCAGGCCCAGCACAACGGAACACGTCGGGCCGTATTAGACAAAACCCATTTCCTTCTCTGCTCGAATGAATTGGAAAAACCTGTAGGATGTGTAAATCATATAACACCCCTCCTCAACACCACTAGGTTAGGCGTGAGCGCATGGCTGTGTATGCGCTTCCGCCCGCTGGGCCAGGTATGGCTCGTGCCCCACCGAAACATTTTTCTCCATCATCCACGAGGGCACATACTCAAGAACACCGTTCCAGATGTTCTCCTCGGGAGTCAATGAGAAGGCGGCCAACAGGTCCATGTCCCGCAAAGCCGCTCGCGATGAGCCAGGCACTTCCCAGCCAAAAAAACCTTTGAAACACACAGAAATGGATTCCGCCACACATCTGCCTTTAGAAAAAGGCGCCTTTTTTCCCACGCCCTCATCCGGTCCCGGACTCGGTCCCGCCAGCCACCGTGGCCAGGGCCTGTTCCTGCACACACGCGGGCACTGGCTGCAACATGCATATCTGGAACATGGCCGCCAGGCTCCAGCACCCAGCAGCATACCCATCCAGCCCGGCTGCCGCCCCAACAACGCCTTGCAAGCAGTGGCGGCCGACAGGGCCCGGAAGCGCGACGCCGCAAACGCAGATCTTGTCCGTCTTTTTTTTTTTTTCCACGCGGCCGTGTCCCAATGCAGAAACTTATCAACAAACAGTCGCATCGCCAGAACCCACCTGCGGCGCTGGGCAGCCATGCCCCGCAGTGCGTTCTCTCCACAACCAGTGCGTTCTTTCAACAAGAGTTTTTTCCACAACAAGGACGTTTTCTCCACAACAAGGACGTTTTTTCCACAACAAGTGCAAGTGCTCGTGCGCCTGCTTCTGTGTTTCTGGATCGACGGCCCCCGCCCGGAACACGACACGTGACCCCAGGCGATCCGGACGCTGCGCTGTTTTTTGCAATCCGCCGCACCCATAGTCAGAAGCCCGCCAGCACATGCCCGCCGCCGTTTTTGCGGCCCAGGCACGCCCGGCCCCAGGAGCCGCCGTGGTCCTCTTTGGCCGCCCGGTCCTGCAGCGGCTCGCCGAAAAAGCACCGCCCTTCGTGCTCGGCATGTTGGCCACGTACGTGCTCCAGCTAGCCGTGCCCACCGTGGCATACTACACGGCCGCCACGGCGCGGCTCTTGAAAGCGGCGTTTTTGTGGCTGGCACTCCTTGTGGCCGTGGCGTGGCTCGCCGGCCTCGGGCCCGTCCAGGCGCACGACCTTGCCGGGATGGCCCGCCGTGTGGCGGCCAATTTCCAGCATGGCCCCGTAGCCCCGGGCCCACAAAACCGGCCCGGTCGCTCGTATCGCCGGGCCTCGGCCTTGGTTCCTGAGCCGCGGTCGCCGGAGCGAGGCGCCGGGCCGGGCCGGAAAACCCCGTGCTCTCCGTCTCGGCAACGACCGAAAGCAGGGCCCTGTGCCCCGGGCCCCGTCCACGTGCCGTCGTTTGTGGTTCCCGTTCGGGACTCCCTGCACAAGGCCTGCTCGGACGCCGTTTTTCCGCATCAGCCTGTGATTCTGCGGCCTGTGATTCTGCGGCCTGGTGCTAGGAGACATGGCTCGGACAGCGAGGGTGTGCGAGACGAGGCCCATCCCAAAGATAACCGGGCCACCGGCCAGCTCCTGCTGCCTGCAGCCAGAGACACGGGTTTGGCGCTGCCGGCCACGGGGATGGGGGGTGTGAGCGGCCGCAGACTTGCGTACCCACAGGAACCCCCTCGGCCGTCGTCACATGTCTTTTTGCGAGACAACGGCGGGGTGTCTTTCGAAACAAGGCCCGATTCTGCGGGGTCTCTTGAAACAAGGCGCGGCTCTGCTGGGTCTTTCGAAACAAGGCTCGATTCTCCTGGGTCCCCCAGAACAAGGCGCAACTCTGCTGGGTCTCCCAAAACAAGGCTCGATTCTGCTGGGACGGCGGCAGTTTCTTCGGTCCCTGGTCTCCCTGCGGACGGAGCCCTTGTGCATGGCCAAAAGAGTGGGCCGGGAAACGCCGGTTTTCTCGGCCGGACAATGTCTGTGCTGAGCGAGCAATCGGTGCTCGGCACAAGGGCCAACTACTCGAAGTTTCTTGCCAACGTGGGTAAGTGAGTGGGTGCCCGGGCGTGCCGCTTGTCTGGTTTGAGTGGTGGGTGTGGTTTGGGTGGTGGTACCAGTTTCAAATGGTGTGTCCAGTATCGAATGGTGAGTCCAGTTTTGAATGGTGGGTCTGGTTCTGGGCCAGCCTGCACTCGATGCCCCTAACCAAATGCATCATGTGGAGACCTTGGCCAGTTCCGGTGCTCCTTGGTTTCTGGATGTGGCCCCGCTTGAGGCTCTGCCGATAACGGCGTCTTAAAAAAAGCCAGAGAGCCGCTTTTGCCCATGCATTCCAGCCTAGGCCCGCCGGGTCTGGTGGGTGCGAGCTTGTCCAGTCTGGATTGAAGAACCTTGACTTGGATTTGTCTCCAAAGACTTCTTGAAGCCTATATCACCACAATCCCACTGGAGTTGCTAGAGGACATCAAGAACTGGTTACCAATGCTGACATTTCTTTCAGCAAAGGACAAATGTGCTTGAATTGGGGTGCGCTTATGAAGACCATCACGGCCGGTCCTTTTGCCTTATCTCTGGTGGCAAACGGCGTTGTTGACCGATGACGGTGAGAGCGACAAAGAGTCTGGGCGAGGCCTCGCACAAAGACCCGTCAGACGAAGACATCACAGTGAAGAAGACAGCGAGGACGCGTATTCTGAAGGAAGCGTGGACAAAAAGAGGAGAGCGATAACGGCAATGACTGGGACGAGTTGGGGAGATCAGCCGCCAGAGACAATAGCAGGCGTGGCCGCGAATAGATGAAGAGAATGGTGAGGATTCCGAGGACACTCGTGTTTGGGTTTCTGGCTGGGCCGATTCTAGTTTAGCAGGTATGTGGGACAGAAACACCGGCGCCGCGGCCATACGTATGTACTACTGAGTAAGCACAACAATAATCATTGGAAGAAGGCACGAGAAGTGAAGAGAATGCATGAGAATTGAGTGGGGGGATTCATGACAGTGGAGCGCAAAGAATGCATTGGAGTGTTCAAATGCATAGCGAGAATGATCCAGATACCTATATCTTTTGTCTAGGGAAATGAAGCGACTAGGGCAGAAGAGCGTGCTGTGATATCAAAGCCAGAACAATGAGAAGGGGGTCTACACAGAAGGCTGTTTGGTTGGTCCATTAAGGGGAATAGCTGAGAAATGAAATCAGTGATTTCGGATGGTCGTGCAGGGCTTGGTGAGAGGGCAAGCCCTAAGAATATTTTTGTCCAGTCCGATTTGCCGGATGTGATTCCAGAACTCCCAAGTGGAGCAGAGCAGCCTCCATAGCGAGCATCACCGACATCAACATTACTAGCGCATATACTAGAACCTCATGGAGTAACCTTTGGAATATGGGCAGAAATATTACATACACTAGCGCATATAGTATCCCTTCGAGTTATCTTTATTAGGACATCAATTAGCACGTATAGTATCACGTACAGTAGCGCATATAGGAGCAGATATGGTACATATATTTGCTATAGTATCGCCTTGAACGGCACTTCATACAGTAGCACATATGGTCTCAAATTAGCACATATATAGTAGTATTTATTGAAATACATTCTAGTAGAACATGCATCAGCACATATAATATCACATAGCAGTATTAATATAGTACATTCTAGTAGAACACATCAGCACAATAGCTCTTGATACAGTATGACCTAGAAAACAATTCCATAGAGTAGCACATCGTAGAGTGGCGCATGCATTAGCACATTTAGTACATACATTCATACATACATCAGCACATAGAAGAGCATTACATATGGTATCTTGGATAGCATGTCATACAATAGCACAATGTATTTGCTCGTACAAAATAGCACATATAACAGTTTATAGTAATACCTTGAACAGCCTTTCATATAGTAGCACATATAGTAGCACATATTACATACACCGGCACATATAATAATACTTAATATAAGATCGCCCTAAATAGCATTTCCTAGTATCACATCATACATTATCAGATGCATGAGCACATATGAACATTTAGTAGCGGATATGGTCTTATATTAGCACATACAAAAGCACTTATTACACTATCATCCTTGTTCCAGTATTGGCGTCCATGGTTTCCCCAGTTCTTCCTTCCCCCAGGTCGATGTCCATATCGTTTTCTTTCAGAGTGTAGAGAATTTGGTGCACCTGGCTCTTTTTTCGCAGAAAAGCCTGGTTAAAGCTTCTGACTTTCTGGTTCTGCCTCTTTGAGTCTTGTTTGCCACCATCATAATCCAGTTGAGTGCCATGGACTGCCGGGAATGGATGAGTCAGAGGTAGTCTATACATCAATTCTATTGCATTCCGACGAGGCAAGGTACTTTTGTCTCCCGACGACCGGATGGTAATTAACTTAACGATGTGTCTTTTTTCCGGGATCTTCATCGGCAACAAACATACCTTACCCATGCCTTGGATTGCCTTGGTGTTGAAACAAGATTTATGAAGCAGAATAGCCGTTGATCGTAACAACGGACCATTTTTTACATGTGGGTCGCTAACGGATGGTTGTCTATTCGTAGACGCGGTCGGCTCCATGGCTATGTCTTTTTCTGTTGTGTTCGTGCTTTGATCAATCGGAAGGATTGACGATAGGGATTCCGACCGAGGAATCTCTCTTCTTGCCCGTATCCGAAATCGGCTTGCTGTGTATGAACAGTCAGATTAGGAAGCACGAGCCATTGTAGCAGGCGTGACCGACGGACCGGCCCGATGGTTTTTTCCGCTCTGTTTCCAAAACCGCTCTATAGAACATACTCGGCGGCGCGGTACGTTTACGCATGTTGTTGCTGGGGGTCGCTGAGTTCCGGGCAAGCAGCGCCAAAGCATAGTCCCAGAACCACCATCGTCCCATGACACCGCCACCCGCAAACTAGGTCCTGCGAGCTGCCACAACCCCCTTGCTTCGCTACGGTCGTCTGCAAGGCTCTGGATATCTGCAACGACACTTTCGTGTGCCCTACCCTCGCCCAGTCTGCCCAAATAGGTTCCAGTCAACGTTCTTCACTGGCGGGTGTGCTTCGCCGCCTTTTGTATATACTCGATGGGCCCCCCACGCACCTAATGACCTGACTCACTGCTGGTCTCCGTGGAGTTGATTCATGCCCAACAGCAGCCTGGCCGATCTGCCGGCCAGCAGGCCGGGCAGACGGGCCCTCGGAAAACTAAGTCGCCGGAGCCACAAGCATGCCACGTAGCACGCCTGTTCCAGGGGTTCTAAGGACAAACCCAGGTCTGGGGCCAAGACCCGTTCCGGGGCCACGGGCAGTCTGCTTCGCCGCGCCGGTTCTCCAGGACAGCCGGAGACAAGGCCCGCGCAGAGCCACGCAAGCTTCCGTCGCAGGGCGTCTGCCTGGAGACCCGCCCCGCCACAGCGCGCCCGGCCAGCGCCGTCCGTTTTCCGTCGCGCCGCCGCGCCCATCAGAGGCTCACGTCCCAGATGGCCTGCGGGCCGCGCTCGTCGTAGATCTCCGCGTCCATGAACGAGTCGCCGCCGTAGTTGGAGTTGGCCCCGTAGATCTGCTTGGCGTAGATCTGGGCGCCGAGGAAGTACACCTCCGACCACGAGCCGCCCCTCTCCTTGGGCTGCTTCCACGCGGGGAAGTACTCCGGGTACTTGATCAACTTGACGGACGACGGCACCTGCGCGCCGCCGCTGTGGTCGCCCGCCGGCTCGGGCATGTCGCTGGTCAGCTGGTACGCCAAAATGGCCGAGCTCACGCCCGCCGGCTCGCGCCGGGAGCCCTTGGGCGGCGGCGGCCGCGCCACGTGCCGCCGGCAGAGCTCGAGCACCACGGCCTGCTTCAAGCCCGCGATGTTGGTGGTGCCGCCCACCAAAACCAAGTTGTCGTAGCACTCCTGGCGCTTGTCCAAGTCCGGCACCTGCGCCAAGCTGGCGAAGATGCCCTCTGCGAGCGCCGCCACGAGCCTCTGCGCGCCCTGGAACCGCTCCTTGCCCACCGAGAGCATCTGGCCCTCGAAGGAGAAGCTGTTGGTCTGCAACTCGCAGTTCGGCTTGCCCTCGGCGGCCTCGGCCGGCGCCAAAGCGCCCGGCGCGCCGTTGCCCTCGGACACGATCTTGGCTATGTCGATGTCCGCGTCGCCGTCGCCTTGCTTCTCTTCGCTCAAGTCCGCGTGCGAGTAGAACGAGTCCTCGTGGTCCACCATGACCTCGTAGATGGGCGAGTGCTTCAACGCCGCGAGCTGCGGCGCGGAGAACTGCGGCAAGATCTTGCGCAACTCGTCGTCGATGGTCCTGCCGCCCACGGGCAAGCGGCGGGCCGCGTACTTGAGGGGCAAGCCGCCCAATACAGGCACGATCTGCGTGGCCTCGTGGCCCACATTCACCACCACCGCCGACGCCGTGGACCCTAGCCCGTACGACGCGGCCACGGACAAGTCCAACACATTGAACGCGGGGAGCTCCAAGGTCTCGAACACAAACCGGGTGAGGTCCTCCACGGCCTCACGTGACAAGGACACGGACGGCGTGAGCAACAACATGGGAATCTGGTTGATCGTCAAGACCGGGTTTTTGCGGATCACCAGCTGCAACACGAACTTGAGGAGCGCCTTGAGGCCGCCCATGTCCGCCACACGTGACCCGACAACGGGGTGGATTTCGGCGTATTCGCCGGCGGGGTTTGACGCCCGATACTGGCTGGTCGCCTGGTCATGGTACACGACCGTGGGGAGCGAGATTTTGGGCGGGGCCAAAGACTCGTGCAAGCCGAAAAGCACCCTTGTCTCGTGCGAGCCCACGTGGACGAGAAGAAAGTTTTCTTCGCGGAAAAGAGGCATTTTGCACTGGAAGAGCGAAGTTATGGAGGGCAGTTGTTGATGCTCCAGGCAGTGGTGGTGGGGGCACGACCGCGGCGCGCCGCGGTGCTGGTGCGAATGGCTGGGCTACTTTCAGCATCAGATTTCTCAATTCAAGTATGTACGGTACTTCGGATCCTTAGAATACTACTATTCTCTAAGAACCCTTGAGGGAAAAAAGGAAAGGAAAAAAACTCTCCCTGTACGGAAGTTTTTTTCCTTTTGCCACGTGAGGGATGGCTACATGGCGGATACCACGTGACAGCTAGCTTTATCCAAGTGCCCGTCGAAGTGCTGTGGTTATGAACCCATGTTGAGATTGATGGTGATCGGATTTGGTCCATGTTGTATTTATAGTGCTTAAGCTATGATTTGTAGTGTTATGGCTATGATTTGTAGTGCTTAAGCTTTGATTTGTAGTGCTATGGCTTTGATTTGTAGTGCTATGGCTATGATTTGTAGTGCTGTGGCTATGATTTGTAGTGCTGTGGCTATGATTTGTAGTGCTGTGGCTATGATTTGTAGTGTTGTGGCGTTGCTTCATAGTGCTGTGTCTTTGCTGTATAGTGCAGTGTCTCGGGTTTGTAGTGCTCAAGACTTTTTCATCAGATTGGAGGCTTGGACTTTGCGTGCCATGAAGTTTGGACTTCTCATTAAGGGACCCCTAAGTTCATGATGTGCTTTTCTGAGTAGCAGCATTGCAATTTGCGCTTTCCGATCCCAAGTTTCCAGTCGTCCTGGAACTAGGCGACGCTGGCTCTAATTTACGTTGCGACAAACTGATGCCGGTGAATAGGCTGATTTGGACTGGCCTTGTCCAGCAAAGCTCTTTATGCAGTTAGGCGGGACATCGGCATGACGTGGATTTGGAACTTGACTTTTTGCTTGTTGGTGGTTGCATTTGAACTTGCTAGTCACTATTGGCTTTTTAAATTTCTTATTTGCTATTTACTATTATTTTTTGCTTCCAAACCATGGAATTACGGAATTACGTTCGGGGTTTTCGTCATGGTGGAACTGGGTCAGGCATAAGCATACAAGCTGGAGCCATCAGAGCAAGAAGAGCTGACACACGCAGCAAGAATTTACAAGGGCTATAGGGACGAGATATTAGCCTTGGATTTCGGGTTTCCAGGCCTCCCCCCCCCCCCTCCCACGGTCACGCCACTCTGTATAAATCGGAAGTAACTTGCAGAACAACAAGTGCACAGTGCTACTCTTGCAGAGCACTTGACTAAAAGTAAAAATGGTTAAGAAACTGGGCCAGAATCTTGCAAAACTCTTTTCAAAGTAACACGGAACCCTGGAATGAGGTAGGTTAGAGTAATTTTGGCAAGCAGATATCGCATTTCAATGATGGGAGCCTACCCCACCTTGCTGAGAGAAAAGTGTGAAGCCTTTTTTCACCAGATTAATTCCAACATTGCCAGGTACACAATGGGACCGGACCTTTGGGTTTTGAAGTGTATCTCTAGTTTGCAGCCGCACCAAAGAGCATCGGTATGGTTATGAAATTGTTTTACAATAATGAGAAAAGAGAAAATGAACAATATTACAGGCGCACGGAGATTAATCAAAAACGGCGCATGCTTTAATTGCTTCAGTGGTTTTAAATACGTGAATCCTTGCCTGTGTTGCCATGACCTGGGCCCTTGGTTCATGACAATGACTGGAGATGACAGCAAAGTTCATGTGAACATTGAAAGTTTCGAGTTCTGGAGCCCGGGCACCCTACATCAGTATTCCATGGCTGTTTGTAAAAAGACTCGAGCTCTTCGTATATGTCTTTATTTTTTGGTGATTCAAAAGCCAAAAATGGAGCCCGTGCAATCAATTACAAGTTGCCAAACTTTTTAACCTGCTCGTCATATGCAGCGAATTCATAGAGCGGCATTTGAAGTGGTGTATTAATTTTTTTTTCTTGCTTCGGGGATTTGAGCCTTCTGTGTAGATGCTTAAATGTCTCGGTGACTTCATTCATGCTAAATTCAGCAAACATTTACACGCTCACAAATCTTTTGGCCGTGTAGTGAAAAGGGCAAGTCTTCATCAAGCACATCAGCTTTCAAAGAGTCCAGAAAAATTAGCCGCTAAAATCATTCCACAAATATTACCATTTGAGCTTTGAAAACGGAGGAGAAGTGGTGGTCTACACAGCTGAGGCGCTGCATTACAAAAAACTTTCCTCTTCAATATCGACGGGTGTTAACTCTGATTACTAGCTAGTGTAAAAACGTTTCAAGAAGTCACTGAAGGGTCATGATTTAAAGGCACAAATATTAAAAATTATTAGACTAAATAAACGTCTCTAAACATCCGTTTAAAAAGTCATTTGATGTTTTTCTGATAAATACTGCAATAAGCTTGTACCTGGCAATCCAATCCGGCGTTCGCTCACAAATCTTTTGTTTCCAGGTTTTACTTTCTTCTACTTTGGGATGCTCTTGAAATTGCTGACATAAGTTCCAACATTTGACTCACAAAAAGAGAAAGAAAAAAAATCTGAAATGAGAGGTTGGCACTTAACCGAATCGATCAACCGGGAGCCAGGTCTACTTGTCCCACACACTGATTCGACATACACAACGATGTTAGGCGAAATGAAGCAATTAGAAAGCAAATATAAATGTCGCATGAAAAAAGAATTATCTTTTTTTTTCTTAGTCTCTTCTGGGGTTGTACTGTCTAAATGTTGTACATTTTCCTGTTTTCTGACTAATCAAGGGCCCCAACATCAGCGATATAACAGCAATTCATGGGGCACAAAACTGTCTTCCCCCCACTCACAATAAATAACACTGTGCTCAAAAATAGATTTTCCCCGCGACGAGTGGTGTCAATTCTAGACTACTCCTAGTATCCAATACCCGACTCTTGCGATATATCAAATTATCCAGCTGCCTGCACGAACACTGCGTGTCGCACTATAATTCACCCAGTCCATATCCAGAGATTATCTTCAGAATCCGTCATTCGTGTCTTGCCAAAATTTAACGGAGCAGATTTCTGGCGTTTCAATTAGCACGGACTTTGCAGGCGTTAAGTTTCGAACAAGCACACCGGTTATCCCCCAGTAGCAGCGCTTTTAGCACCCCACGACTTTACTTCATTTCGTCATTGGCACGACGCGGAGATGCTTCGAGTATTGGCAAGACGCGTCCTCCCATTAAACACACCTCTTGCCACCACGTCTACATTTCACCCTCGTCACATGGGTCAACAGTCTATTCTCCGCTTTTTTAGTGATCTGTCCAAAAGCCCCGCCAAGACCACCAAAAGAAAATCTTCGCGTGAGCCGTCTCCTGCCAGCAAGGCCAGAAAAACCAAGATCGAGGACTCGCCCAATGTTGCTGCAAACTCGTCAGAAAACCCCGAAGTCTCGACGGAGCCTGTGTTAGACCCTGCAGACTCGCCGGGCCCGAAAAGCGTCAAAGAAGAGGCGGAAAAATTGATTGAATTGTCGGAGGAAAACCATAAACACCCGATTCTTGCTCCCTCCACCACCAAGATTCCGTATGCCAAGCTCACTGCCGTTCTCGATCGCATCGAGGCCGAGCCGGGCAGATTGAAGATGACCGCCATAGTGGTGGAGTTTTTCACCGAGATTTTGGAGCAGTTCCAGTCGCCTGACGAATTGGTGCGTGTGGTGTACCTCTTCATCAACAGGCTTGGGCCGGATTATGAGCCCGACTTGGAGCTTGGCCTTGGCGAAACCATTCTCATCAAGGCCATCGGAGAATGCTACGGTCGTGCACCGGCCAAGATCAAAAAGGATTATCAGGAAGTGGGAGACTTGGGGCTAGTGGCTCAGCAGTCGCGGTCGGGCCAGCCTCCTATGTTCAAGCCCACTGCTCTTGATGTCGACACGGTCTTTGAAAATCTCACCAAGATTGCGAAGTCCACCGGCAAGGATTCCCAGTCGAGAAAAATCTCCATCATCAATAAGATGTTGACGTCCTGTGACATGAAGAGCAGCGAAGCAAAGTTTTTGATCCGCTCTTTGGAGGGCAAATTGCGTATAGGCTTGGCCGAAAAGACTGTCTTGGTCAGCTTGGCCCAGGCGTTCTTGAACCACGAGAACAAAAGCGCAAAGCGCATCAACAGCGACTCTCTCTCAAAGGCCGAGGACGTGATTCGCGAGGCGTTCTCGTTAATCCCAAACTACGAAGTCATTATCCGGAACGCCTTCCAGTATGGAATCCTCAACTTGTTAGACCACTGCCAGCTAACGCCCGGTGTCCCGTTGAAGCCCATGTTGGCCAAACCCACTAAGTCCATTGGCGAAGTACTCGATAGATTCCAAGGTGAGGAGTTTACCTGCGAGTACAAGTATGATGGGGAGCGTGCTCAAGTGCACCTTCTTGACTCGGGCGAAGTTCGCATCTATTCCCGGAATTCGGAAGACATGTCCCAGCGTTATCCCGACTTGGTTTCAATAGTAAAAGACTTCATCAAGACTTCTGACGAAACAAACACAGGCACGCCCAGATCCATGCTTTTGGACTGTGAGGCGGTGGCTTGGGATCGGGAATCCAAGAAAATCTTGCCCTTCCAAGTTCTATCGACTAGAAAGAGAAAAGATGTGGACGAAAAGGACATCAAAGTCCATATTTGTTTGTTTGTATTCGATGTTTTGTGCTTCAACGGCGATTCGCTCATCACCAAGTCCTTGCTGGAAAGAAGACAGTGTCTTTTCGACAACTTCACCCCGATCGAGGGCAAGTTCCAGTTTGCAACTTTCAAGAACTCTTCCGACTTGAATGAACTCCAGTTGTTCTTGGACCAATCAGTCAAAGACTCCTGCGAAGGTTTGATGGTCAAAATGCTTCACGGGGCTGAGTCCTTCTATGAACCATCCAAAAGATCTAGAAATTGGCTCAAACTCAAGAAAGACTACTTGGCAGGTGTTGGCGACTCTCTCGATCTTGTCGTTGTGGGAGCTTACATTGGAAAAGGCAAGAGAACTGGCTCGTATGGAGGCTTTCTTTTAGCAGCATACAATGACGATACCGGCGAGTATGAAACGACTTGCAAGATCGGAACAGGCTTTTCTGATGAAGACTTGGCCACTTTGTATGCTAAGCTCAAGCCCACCGAAATATCGGCTCCAAAGCCGTTCTATGTCTATGACACAACAAACTCTAATGCAGTGCCCGACGTGTGGCTCGAGCCAACATCCGTGTTTGAAGTTTTGACGGCTGATCTTTCTTTGAGTCCCATCTACAAAGCCGCGTATCTGGAATACGGCAAGGGTATTTCGTTAAGGTTCCCCAGATTTCTCAGATTGCGTGATGACAAGGGAGTTGAGGATGCCACAACGTCTTCTCAGGTTTCGGAGTTTTACCAGAGGCAAACAAATGTGTCCTAGATATCTGGTAATAACAAAAATGGATGTCATGTAAGGCGCGAGTTATAATTATGATCCGATAAACAAAGGAGAGATAGAGAAAGCAAAATAATTTAGAATAAAAGCTTTTGTGAAGTCAGAAGCAGTCATGGGGGCAAATCGCACATCAGCGGCTCACTGGGCGTTTTCTCGACCTTCCCGGATTCGGGACTGAATTTTGCTGCTGAGTGTGCTGGCAGATTTATCCGCGCTGAATTCAGCGAGCCTATTTCTGTCAATCTTACTATTGAAGTTAAGTTCGACAGGCGAGCTATCTTCCGACAAAGCTGTTTCTGAACTGAGTGTGTTCGGGTTAGTGTTTTTGAAGTTGAAGTCATCGGCCATGGATACCGTGGATGGCATTGCCGAGGGAGTCATCGAATCAATGTCAACCTGTCCCTTTTTGGCGTTCATGTACAAACTGTAGTCAGAAAACATTGGGATGTTCGTGTATGACAGGTCGCTGGGTAGCGAGATTCCGTCGGAAGTGGTAGATGAGTTCCCATCGGTGTTCTCGTCGTCATTCTGCCTCGTAGATGAACCTGTGGCTTTAGCGGACGCACCCTTGCTCGCTTTCTTTGCTTTGCGGCTGGCTAGCCTTCTATTACGCAACTCTTGAGTTTTCAGTTCCTCCTCTTCGTCTGAGTCGTAGTCAACTGGTCTTGCCAGTTTGGTGCTCTTCACCTCAAGCAAGTTGAAGTCATCGGGGAAGAGCTCAAGACCATATTTGTTGACAAACTCAGTAATCTCATTACTCAAGTCCCTTCTCATTTGCTTGACTTCAGTGATGGTTGATCCCAAGAAAATAGAGAGGTATAGTGGTCTCAATGATTTGAACAAATCCATACCTTGTTCACCGATCACCAAAGCAGAGTATGTGACGACAATACCCAAGATATAAAGAATGAACCACATGCTGAGCAAGCCATAAGAGGAGAGATAGTTGTGTTTTTTGCAGTACCACGTACCAACTGAGGCGTAGAAGCTGTACAACAAAGGCGCAACACCCATACTAATGAGAATTTTCCATGTGGCCACCACGTCGTTTGCCTTCACTTTCACAGAGGAGTTAGCTAACGCAGTTCTCTTCTTTTGGACTGACACATATTTGGCAATAGCAAAGACAGGCGAAAAGAGAATGGATCCCGGAAGTGCTAAGATGAGTAGGAGAATGACTTTCAATGCCCGCACAATGAACACTGGGATCAATGAGAGCTTGTGATTCTCGTCGCAATCTTCGACATGATGATCAGCCAAGTTGGAGTGGCTCAAGGCTTTGTTGTAACGCAAAATGTTCTTTTTGATAGTGTCCATTTCAGGCAAATGCTTAAACGTCTCGTACCCCAATACCAACCTCCTGTTCATCTCCACCGCCATTGGGATCGGCAAGTACTGGGCAAAGTTTCCAGCATAGAGCCGCCGAGCCGCCTGCACAACCATCAATGTCTCGTAGTCAACACAGTTGACGGTAACAGCCTTCAAACCATTGGTGACTAAGTCCAAGAGTTCCTTCACAGAATCCCTGGAGGTCTCTGGATCATTGTAGCGTGCAACCAAAGAGGAGTCTATCTCAATTGGCTGACCGAATTCGACTACTGCACGCGAACGGAACTTGTGCGCGTGGAAGTAGTTCATACCACAGGGAACGATTTTCACCTTGCATGTGGGGTCATGACTCATGGCCCCGAGCGCCATCACGGCCACACCCGCCTTTAGTGGGAGCAACTCAGTGCGGTCGTGGGAGCCGCCCTCAGGGAAGATGCCAAGACACTCGCCCCGCGACAAGTGCTCAAATACGTAGTGATACACCTGCTTCTGGTCGATCTTGTCCGCGACCTTGAACAGCGTGCCCCTGCGCAAGAGTTCGACAACGGCGTCAGACCGCTTGAATTCGCGTCGCAAGACGAGCTCGGTATCAGACACAATGGTCTCGATTTCGGACGCGCCGAGTGACTTGGGCAATGCCAAGAGTCCGCGCAGCATGCACTCCAGTGTAAACCGCGTGCCACGACCCGTTACAAGTAGCGGGTCGGCATCGAAATCAATTGAGATTTTCCCTGTGCCTGGAGCAAGCATGTCCTGGGCGCGTGCCACGGGGATCGATAGCTGTGCGCTAGAGAGGGGGCCGATGACCGGGTGATGGTACGACTTGGCGGCAATGAGGAACGAGATGCGGCGGTTTGCCTCCTTGCGGACCTGGTTCGAGAGAATGAGCGGGTCGACAAACTGATTGGCGTGGGGAGCCGCCACGAAGATTACAGGCCCAGACTTGGGGATCCGGAAGGCGCCCCGCGGCCGGATTTCACGGAAGAAGCAGTCGAAGATCACCGAAAACATCCATCCCACAAAGTCGTAGAGCCAGAGCTGGTACTGGCGGAACGGCTTATATGGTGCATTCGGCGCCTCGGTGTCTGCCTTTGGTAATGGCTGGTCTGCATTTGGTGACGACGGGTCTGATTTACGTGATGATCGGTCTGCGTTTGGTGAGGGAGCTGGGTCCGATGGCAGGGTGCACCCGGGGGTAAGCAGGAGCTCCCCCACGCTGTTTGCCGTGCCATTGGGTTCGCTGTATGCGCCGGCTGGGGCAGTGGTAGCCGAGGGCAGCATCGAGTTGGTTTGCGATTACAAAAGCGTCTGTGTGTGCCAAGCGGGCCCAGAGGAAAGTGTGGAGATTGGGGACTGCGTGATTCAAAAACCGCGAGTCACTTCCGCTGAGCCAGGTGCGGGTTTCAAGGCGGGCCTCCAGAATATCTACCTGGCTTCTGTGCCGGCCCTATGCGTGGGGCCAAAGCGCGGGTTTTGGTTATGAGACACCAACGAGATACACCGGTTTGGTGTACTGGTGTAGTGGTCGCTGGCCTCCAAACCTTGGGCGGGTAGCGCCAGCAAAACGTGGCACAAAAAGAAGGGGGCAAAAACGTACTCACTGATCGCCAGAAAACAATATGGGAGACACGGGATAATGAAGTGCGTTGGTGTGTGACTAGGTAAGGCACACTATGTAGAAAAGACAAAAGAGTGTGGAGTTGAGAAAAAGTTTAAATGGAGCGAGGAAGTAGGAATTGCGAAAAGCAAGGAGGGGGTGAGAAAAATGTGGAAAAGGTAAAATTGGAGCGACAAGAAAAATGCGGAATTGAAAGAGACAACAACGAAATTCCGGCAAGAAATCCCGAGCAACTGGACAATGGACCAACCGAGTCAAGATTTCAGTTATGTTCTTTAAACGGGGTTGAGAATTTCGTGACGGATGCGCTCTTTTAAATGTATGGCCTATTTTTGGCTGTCTCATATTATGTAAGGTGGTGTGACGAGACACTACTTAAACACGCGACCAGCCACTAAGAAATGGGCCCCAAAAAATCAGTCGAGTATGGTATCCAATAATTGCAATCAGCAGCATCAACGATACACAAGATGTAGAATAAGATCCCGCCCCTTTCATGTTGGCTTTAAATTCTCCGAACTTTTACAAGGTTGTGATATTTTCTCTCAAAGACTCTAGTATTTCTTAGGCATGCTCAAATTGCTCGCATTAATAAGAATGAAACATGATTGATAGATCTGTTCCATGCACACTCTCGAAGACAGATTTGGGGTGTGTTTGCTGTTGTTTTGTTTTTCATGGGGGTCATAATTCCAAGGGAGACTATAATGAATTCCTGGAAATATGAAGTCCGTCAGAAAGCACAGACACCTAACCACCCCTCGAGCCAAAAGACCTGTGTTTTGCAGCAGAGAAAAAAATGTTGAAGGAACACACCACGTGTGGTTCATATATGTTTCTATCACGAATCACGTGTAGTATGCCGCCGCACGTGACGTAATTGAAATTTGAGCCTCGGGCCGAGGCTGTGGCAGCGTACTAGCATCACGCACCCGAATGAGACCGCAGCGCTTGGCGGGCCGAGGGCGCGGCCCAGCTTCACCGCACGGCACTGTGTGCAGGCTTGTCGTCATGTGCAGGCGTGCAACCGTGTGCTCGTAACCTGGTTTTAGTTCGGCAACGGTTTTGCCAGCTGGCTCCCAAGATAACGTGGGCAATTAGCAGGCCTGTTTCGTGGCCCGATTCGTGGCTCATACTATCGGACAGATGGTGGAGTAGTGTCCGCTCTCATAATTGGGCTTGTCTCATTTTTGCACCGTTCTCAAAATGGCCCAAACAGTGAGCGAGTGAATAGAGCTGGTCGGTGGAATGTAGCCCTTCGTCCACAGACTCTGTTCTGTGATTCCGGCAGCCCAGGTCTTTGTAACTCAAAGCAAGACTTGCCTGCAGCTAGAATTTGGCCCAGTGCAGACAAAACACAGGAAGTGGCGCATCCGGTGGCACACTAGGCATTATCATATTTAACAATGCATGCTGGGGAATGCAGTATTCAGCAGGTGGATGGCACCTTTTCCCAGGCTAGAATTGCGCCCAGCTTTGCAGGCCCATGACATTCGGAAACCAACAGCGGCTACTGTTTTGTGCTGCTTATACATGCTGCCTTGTAGATGGTTAGTGGTCCGGAGGCTCCTAACATTGTGTGATTATTGCACCAGCCATTGTGAAAAACATTCTCAAGCAATGTGTCTTAATATATCCAGTCAAGCAACGGCCCGCGTGGCCGAACAATAAAAAACATGGCGTTGTTTGAAATCGGCGTGCGTCCTGGGCCGAGCCATGAATGGATCGGCCTTTCCTTACAGGCCACGTCCGCTTGGCGCTTCCCCAGTTTTCATATTCCGTTCGCCATGCCCGCTTTCGCACCTCGGCTGTCGGAATCTAAAACCCCGCAATTTGCTGCCACACCCCCGAACTTAAATACCAGTGAGAACCGCCAAGTGACCGCACAATATTTCGGGCCACTTTTTTTTTGCTCTTCATCAAAACACACTATCCGTATTCCTGCTGCCTTGGAAAGCTCCTCAGATTCTTTCCAAGTACCAGTTGAAATACACGACAGAAATTAACCAGGAGAAACCACCCGGACCACAAGGCCCAGTGTTCCCGAAAAAAAAAGCATATATTTGGGCTGTTGACCGGCTCCAGTTGCGTGCTCTCAAAACTCCTGTTTTTGCTCACGCCCTCTTTTTGTGTCTCAAAAACGAGAAACTCCCCGTGTGGCAAACTCCCACTTTTTTCCCCAGCTTTTTTTCACAGCCCGTCGCGCTCAAGAGCTTCCCCACATTTTCGCCCTTGAATCCAGTTCCTACAGGTCTCGGGGTTTTTTTTCTAGGCGCGCACATACTCACTAACGCATCATGACAGTCTCCTTCAAGGACAAGGTCGTGATAGTCACGGGCGCCGGCGGCGGCTTGGGCAAGCACTACTGCCTAGAGTTTGCTCTGCGCGGCGCCAAGGTCGTGGTCAACGATTTGGGCGGCTCGCTCTCGGGACAGGGCGGCGACTCGCGCGCCGCAGACGTGGTGGTGGAGCAAATCCGCGCGGCCGGCGGCGAGGCCGTGGCCGACTACAACAACGTGTTGGACGGCGAGAAGATAGTCGAGACTGCGGTCCGGGCCTTTGGCACCGTGCACGTGGTGGTCAACAACGCCGGGATCTTGCGCGACGCGCAGTTCAAGAAGATGTCGCCACAGGACTTCCAGTTGGTCACGGACGTGCACACGAACGGCGCGTTCAAGGTGACCAAGGCCGCATGGCCCTACTTCCGCAAGCAGAACTACGGCCGCATCATCAACACCGCGTCGCCCGCGGGCTTGTACGGAAACTTTGGCCAGGCCAACTACTCGGCGGCCAAGCTGGGCATGGTGGGCTTTTCCGAGACCTTGGCGAAGGAGGGCGACCGCTACAACATCAAGGCCAACACCATTGCGCCGCTCGCACGCTCGCGCATGACCGAAAACGTCTTGCCACCCCCCATCTTGGAGAAGTTGGGCCCGGAGAAGGTGGCTCCCATTGTCTTGTACTTGGCTTCTGAGAGCAACACGACTCTCAACGGCGAGATCTTCGAGGTTGCCGCGGGCTTCTATGCGCAGATCCGTTGGGAGAGGTCTGGCGGCGTGTTGTTCAAGCCCGACGACTCCTTCACTCCCGAGTCCGTGGCCAAGAAGATCGATGCCATCATGGACTTCGACGACTCCGCGAAACCTGACTTGTTGAAGAATCAGCACCCCCGGGCGTTGAATGACTACTCGGCCTTGATCAAGGCTGCTGAGAAGTTGCCTTCGAACGACAACGCGGGTGCCCCCCCTGTGTCGGTCAAGGGCAGGGTTGTGGTCATCACCGGTGCAGGTGCTGGTTTGGGGAGAGACTACGCGCTCGCATTCGCCAAGGCCGGTGCCAAGGTCGTGGTCAACGACTTCAAAGACCCCTCCAAGGTTGTCGACGAAATCAAGGCTGCCGGCGGTGAGGCGCACGGCGATCAGCATGACGTTGCCAGTCAAGCCAAGGAAATCATCGACAATGTCATCAACAAGTACGGCACCATTGATATCTTGGTCAACAACGCTGGAATCTTGAGAGACAAGTCTTTTGCAAAAATGACTTACGACGAGTGGTTGCAAGTGCAAAAAGTTCACTTGCTTGGAACCTTCAACTTGACAAGATTGGCATGGCCACATTTCTTGGAGAAGAAGTTCGGTAGAGTTGTCAACATCTCGTCCACCTCGGGAATATATGGCAACTTTGGCCAAGCCAACTACTCTGCGGCGAAGTGCGGCATCATTGGTCTTTCGAAAACTCTTGCTATCGAAGGAGCCCGCTCCAACATCAAGGTCAATGTGGTTGCCCCTCATGCTGAAACAGCCATGACCATGACCATTTTTAGAGAGGAGGACAAGAACTTGTACCCTCCAAAGTTGGTAGCTCCTTTGTTGATTTATTTGGCTTCTGAGGATGTGCCAATCACCGGTGAGTTGTTTGAGGCTGGCGGTGGATGGATCGGTAACACCAGGTGGCAGCGGGCGAAGGGAGCCGTTTCCAGAGATGACCACACGACGGCTGAATTTGTTCAAGATAACCTTCAGGACATTGTGGACTTCAGCACTGGCACAGAAAACCCCAAGTCAGCTACTGACTCCTCAATGGCTATTTTGAGTGCAGTTGGAGGAGATGACGACGAAGAAGAAGATGATGACGACGACGACGACTCTCTGGACGAAGAGGAGAACCCAGATAAAATGCCCGATCCTGTTTTCTCTTGGAATGATAGAGATGTGATTTTGTACAATCTTGGTGTTGGGGCCACTCATGATGAATTGCAATACGTCTATGAAAACTCATCAGACTTCCAAGTCATCCCCGTCTTTGGGCATCTCCCTACATTCAACTCAGAGAAGTCTCAGTTGACGTTCACGAGGTTGTTGAAGAACTTCAACCCAATGCTCTTATTGCACGGAGAGCACTACCTCAAGATTGAGAAATTTCCAATTCCAACGGAGGCTACGATTACAACATCATACCAGCCATTAGAAGTTACACAAAAGGGCACGAACACGATTGTGGTTCATGGCTCGAAATCAGTCGATAATGAAACTGGAGAGTTGCTTTTCTCAAACGAGGCCACTTTGTTCATTAGAAAGTGCGAGGGTGAGACCAAGAAATACGTCGAGAGAAAGTCTTTCTCCATGAATCCTTTCTCTGCACCCAAGTCCGAGCCTATCTTCGTTAAAGATATCAAGACTTCCAAGGACCAAGCTGCTTTGTACAGATTGAGTGGAGACAGAAACCCATTGCACATTGATCCTAATTTTGCCAAGGGAGCCAACTTCGATGCCCCGATCTTGCATGGAATGTGCACGTACGGGTTGTCTGCCAAGGTGTTGCTCGATGAGTTTGGCCTCTTTAATGAAATCAAGGCAAGGTTCACCGGCGTTGTTTTCCCAGGTGAGACTTTGAGAGTCTTTGCATGGAAGCAGGGTGATGTGGTGATCTTCCAGACACATGTGGTGGAAAGAAAAACCATTGCCATCAACAATGCTGCCATCAAATTGATTTCTGACAAGAGCAAGTTATGATGAAAGTTCTATAGTTCTCCTACTGAGTCAGCATTGACCATACACCCTTTGCCTATTACAAAAATAGCCTCCTACATTGTTTAAGAATCTTGATTTTATGCTCGTTTCGAATATTATAATGCTGTTTTAAAAAAGACCCCCGGTAGAAATCACTCTCCAACGTGACCCAAGTTTGAAGATTGGTTGTGATGGTTGCCAGCGCGTGCGAGGCGGCGATGTTGAAGAGTTTTGGGCTGGAGAAAGTAATCGACGGGCGCGTCATTTAAGGAATCACTCATTGATGACGCATCCTGTCTTGATGCATATGTTGATGCCGCGTTGATGGATAACGGCGAGCTGAAAGTAGGCGATGAGCCCTCTTGTTTTAAGCCGGGCCTGATGGTGGGACGCGATAAAGTTAGCCCCAATGCCTTTTGCGTAGCAGGAGTGCCAGGCGGTATAGACGTTGTCTTTGATTGAGGGTCTTGCGCAAAGTTGTAGCTGTTCACCGATGATAATGGGGTCGTGAAATCGATAATGTCGAATGCACTCAAACTCTTGTAGAAATCAGGTCTGTCGTTGAAAGGTGATGCGGATTCCAGAAGCGATTCCGAGGAGGAAAACGTTGGTGATAGTGCCTCCGAGCATATCAGCAGCAGCGACGAGTTCACTGAGAGCAACAGGCCCGAGGAGCTCTTGCTGTGGTTTCTGAATAGTGCCGTGGGAGGCAAGAATTCCTCGTTGTCAAGACGCGAGTACATGGGAGCGTCCTTTTCCGGCGAATCGCAAGCATTCAGGAAGTTCAGAAGAGACTGAGAGAACTGGGGCCTGGAGTCCTTCCTGTCCCGCTTCTTGATCTTCAAAGACCTTCTACTTCGAGGCAACGGCGCTGTGTTGGCGGAGCTACTTGTGTCGGAGCCAGTGAGCAGTGCTGTCAATGACGCTGAGCGGGTATGTGCGAGATTCAATCTAGGCGGGAACTGGTTGAACGACTTTGCCCGCGTGAGTTTTGAAGCCTGCATGACCTTGCTCATTTCGATCTCACAGGTGCGCTTGTGGTTGGTGTCCTTCATGGCAACGTAGGATTGCGGGTCACAGAGATGTCTGAACTTGTCGAAAAAGCCTTTGTAGCCGCGATCCAAGATAACGATGTCGGGATAATGCAAATATGGGTAGCGGTGGGCGTTGAGGTGCCGGTCGGCCTTCCGGAGATGGGTGGCCAAGGTGGGTCCGCGGAGTACTGAGTACTCACAGTGGAAGATGAGAAGCTTTCTGCAACTACTCTGAGTGCTGGCCTCGCTGAGGAACTGTTCCTCCAAAATCTGCTGCAGAGATACATTGATCGCCTGGGCGATGTGTCCCCCTTCGTATTCGTAAGGAAACCGGCAGTCGATGGTCACGAACTCGTCGAACTGGTCAGCGTATGCGCCTTCCACAATCTTGCGCATCTCGTTCTCATCGATGCGTGGGAGGTTGTCCTGGGCCACGGTGAAAGTTTTGATGCAGGTGTTGGGCAAGTGTGCGTTGCTGGTGAAGTGATCGCGCGGACTAGCTTCCTCGACGAAACTTGGCTGGATGCACGGGGAGGCCGTCTTCTGCTTCAGCGACGGCGACGCCAACCAGTCCTCGTCAATCAACGTGGAGTCGTTTGTCTCATCAAAATCGTCGCTGGTGTCGTCCTCCGGAAAAAGCGGGAGGTCTGAAAACCGATGCGAGACAGAGCGGCGGATCGAGGACGCCGAGTGGGAGATTTTCGAGCCCACCGCTCTGATTTCGAGCGAGTTCACGTACAACAGTAGCGACTCGAGCGGGTTTCTAGTGCGGAACTTGTGTCTGGGTGCTGCTGTCGGGACGGGGTCCTTGTTCCGCGGGCATGATTGGGCGAGGTGTGAAAAGACATGTTCGTTCTTCATGCTGGATTGATGAAGCAACGCGGTGATGATGCGAAAAGCGTTGGCAGACCGATGTGCGATGTTTAAGGCCTCGTAATGGCAGAAGCGCAGCCAACAAGAAACAAACCCGTGGTGCGTGAGGCTGACAAAGACTGGGTCGAGATGAGATCACAGGCTTTGACGGGGATTCCAGGCAATGCGGGAGCCGGGATCGACAGCTCAACGGGGCTCTTGTCTTCGTTGCGTACTGCCGCTTATCAGGGGCAAGAAATCCGCAAATTTCTCTGGTGCACAAAATCACGACTGCTCAAGAGGACAAAGGCAGTATATAGTGGAGCAAGCACGCTCTGGAGTCAAGCGGGGCACGCAGTCCTAAGGAGAAATAAGCTAGCGTGCTGAGAAACGCTGAGTTCAATGGGTGTCAAACCGCCAACAACCACAAATAAAACCTGGACAGAGTTCCAAGAAAGATTGTGTTGCTTGCTTGAAGGAGGAGAGGTCCGGATCACAATCCACGAGCGCTCGCATATAGCCCCAGGCCCGCGCAACTGGCCAGGGCTCATGCGATGCTCGAGCCGAAAGGGAGTGCGCCAAAACACGACCTGTACTGGGCGCCAGAAATGAGGCCCGCGCGCCAAACCGGGCAACAAAGGGCCAGGTGAGGCAAGCTCATACGGAGCGTGTGGGGCCGCAGAAACAAGCGAGAAAAAAACAGGCGGGTTTCCGACTCGGCCTTCAAATATCCAGGCGACCCAGCAATATTTTTCCCAGGCCAACGGCGGCGTCAGGACGGCCCGTGTTGGCCCCGCCCGTTTCACTTTAGCCGATGCGGCGACCACCTTGCGCGATTGCTCCGTGGAGGGCGCTCTTGCATGCAAGAGCCACAAGAAATATATTGCCCGTCGGCTTCAGAACACTGGGTTTGCTGGCGGGGGTCTTATTTTTCTTTTTTTTTTTTGGGCAAACACGGCGTGGTCCAGGATGTGGTGCAGCTGGCGGCACGACCAGTTTTTGGCGAATTCACGTCCCTGCTACGCAGCGCAAAAAGCTGCGTCGGTATTCCGTTCTTCCTGTTCTGACTGGTGACAGCGGCGTGTTTCGCGGGGTGAGGGAAGGATTTTTTGCCCGGCCATGCGCGAAACTGATGTCATGCGCCTCGTGCCGTACCTGCTTGTTTCGGGGCTTTTGACAGGAAGTTGTTTCGAGTTTCATCTCCATGTTTCAGGAGTTAAGCCTTCGGAAATTCATTCTGTTTTGGGCAAATGCCATAAGCCCGGTAGCTCTGTTCGCTTGGCTGTGTCCCCGGGACCGTCACTGGTATCGGGCTCTTTGTATTGCTATCTCAAGGAAACTCTAACCTTATTCTCTGTTGTGAATACGCGCATATCGCGACTGTAATCTTCCTGTCCGAATAAGTGTTTTGGTTCAAGATAAGCAACATGATGTGGGGCAATGGTATAGCCTTGCCATGCTCTGATGCCGCTGTGCCCTTCATTTTCTGATTGGGGCCGTCGTGTTCTTTGGGGAACCCATGGCCCATCACTAGCACATCCATACCCAATTCCGACAGCGTGTGGATGAGTCCATTCGCAGAATTTGTATGAGCCAGAGAGGTAGCATGAGCGCGCAGGGTTCGGACGAAAGTCCTGATGTGCATCCACTAGGGCGTAGCTCAGAGGCTTTGATAAGAGAGCCCGAATTGGTGCTTCCGTGGGCACAGCGCTATGGAAGCGTCCGCAAGCACAGCGCGATGGGGAATTCTAAAAGCACAGCGCCATGGGAATCTCAAAAGCGCAGCGACATGGGAATCCCAAAAGCACAGCGCCATGGGAAGAGTGCCATTCGTGCCCCCACTTAATCGCGCGATCCCTCGTTAGTAGTACCATCATAAAGTAAGAAAGTCTCCCATGTAGGTGCCCCTCGCTCCAATAGTCTACTGGTCTAAACGGTCGAGAAACTGGTCCATGGACATGGTGCGGTCAGCGTCCTCCTCGCTGCTCGCCTCGCTCCCTGTGTGACTCCCATCTTCTTGCAGCGCATCCTTGCCGCAATCATGCGCACTTGCAAAGCTCTCTCGTTTGGGACTAGTGGCAGGGCTGTCCATCAAGTAGGCATGGAGATTGAGCGAGGAGCTCGAGCTGGAGATCTTGGATATCGTGTTGGAAGCCCCGGACGACATGGAGTTCTTTCGAAGCAGCACGGGCCCGGAGTCGACGCTGGAAAACAGGCTTCTGTTGGACCGCGGCTTCTTCCACCCGTCGCCGAAGGCAGGCGGCGGCGCCAAGTTCGTGTAGCTCGAGGCGCCGCTGGAGCCTCCGGCCATGTGCCCGGACAAGGCGCTGATCGTGGGTTCGATGGGCTTTTTCTTGAACCGCGAAAAGAACCGGCGCGAGGGGCTGAACACCGACTTGATTGACAGTGGCGAGTCGGGCCCGATTGTGACCACCGGGTGCGCGGAGCTTGGCGTCTTCTCGCCGCTTGCGGACTGCAGGAGCGGCGAGTGTTTTGGTGCCAGCGGGTCAAAGTTGGAGCCCGAGAGCTTCAAGGGCGGCGGGATCTTCCGGGCCAGGTCCAGGGCCAAAGACGAGCCTGGAATCGTGTCCCGCGCGTGGGACGAGGCCACCAGGAGGGTGTCGAAGAGATCCGCTGTCTCGACCACCTGGGGCTCCGTGTCCTCCTCGTCCAAAGAGCCGCACGAGCTTGAGTCGTCTAGGTACGAATCCAAGAGATCGTCGACCTTCTCGAGCTCGCGCACGTTGATTTTCTGCTCCGGCACGGCGCTCGTCAGCGCCGAGGGCACGGACATGCCCACGGACACCGGCTTCAGCGGCAACGACGGCTCGGAGCGGCCCACAAAGAGCTTGCGGAGCCGCAGCGAGAGCTTGCTCTCCGCGGCAAACGCCTCAGCCGCGGCCGGCGACTGCGCGGAGATGATGTGGCGGTTCACGTTCTTGAACTTCTCGATCTCGGGTCTGCCGAGGTCAAAGGTCGTGAACCCGTGGCCCTTGATCTCGGCAAGCGTGGGCCGGGTGTGCGGGTCCTTGCGGAGGAGCCGCGTGATCAAGTCCTCGAGCAAGGCCAACTCGCGCACGTCGTCAGGCTTTGCAAGCGAGCTGCGCTTGGTGCGCGGGAACTTCAAGTCGCCGTTGACGATGTTCTTGAACAAGCCGAACTCGTTGAAGCCCTCGAACGGAAGCTGGTGGAAAAACAAGCAGTACAAGGTCACGCCGAGCGACCAGAGGTCGACGCGGGCGTCGATCTTGCTGCTGCGGAGGTCCTGCTCGTTGAACATCAGGAGCCGGTTGTTGACAAACTGGCACAACTCGGGCGCGAAGAACGCGGGCGTGCCCATGGTCTTGCCCAACTCCTTGTCGTCGTTGGCGTTGTTCTCCAAGATCAACGACACGCCAAAGTCCGAGATCTTGATCGTGCGGTCGCTGCTGATGAGGAGGTTCGACGGCTTGAGGTCCCGGTGGATGATGTTCTTGTACAGGTGGAGGTACTCGAGCCCGTTGGCCACGTCTCGCAAGATGCGGTTGAGCGGGAGCCGGCGCGCCGGGTCCTTGAAATACTTCTCGTGGTAGTGGTTGTACCGCTTCCAGTCGATCTCGCCCAACGCGCAGTACTCGAGCACAAGCAAAATCTTGTCGAAGCGCATGTCGTCGATGACCTGGAAGAGCTTGACCACGTTTGGGTGGTCGCACTCCTTCATGATCTGGATCTCGCGCTTGATCTTGGTGGTGTGGCTCAAGTACGTCTTGGTGATGAGCCGCGTCGTGTCCACGCGGTGGATGGTCTTGATCGCCACGTGCTGCCCGGGGCCGCGGGCAAGGTCCTCGGCCAAAAGCACCTTTCCAAACTGGCCCTGCCCGATGTTCTGGAGCAACTTGAAGCGCAGGTTGACGATCTTGCGCCGCAGCGTTTTGTCGAGCTCGACGCTGAGCTTGGCCACGTCCATCTGGGAAGAACGCTGATGCAGGGGGCGGGCTTTTCGCAATCAGGCGCCCCTCAATGCGTGGATTAATGGTGATGGCCCGGAGAGCGCGTTTGCGTGGCGTTCTCGGGTCGTGGTCGAGACGAGCCGGCCAGTAATCCTTGGGTCCTTGGGTCCTTGGGTCCTTGGGACTTCCTGACGCCTTGTTTGGGTGTTTGCTGCAAATGGCAGGCGCGTATATGGCGCTGGCTTTTTGGGGAGGCGGCTCGGGCGTATCCGGGGTACGTTGCTCCAGCGTTGTTATCACAGACGGTCGCGCGGCGCGGTGCCGGAGATTGAAATTCAGTGCCGGCTGCGGGCAGCGGAAACAGGCATCGCGCGGCGATGGGGCCGCGCGATATGTCAATCGTGATGATTAGTCTGAGTTCGGGCGGTGCTGGTTTTCTTTGTTTTTGCCTTTTCGTTGCCTCTTTATCCTTTTCCCCATACCTCTTGGCTCTGGCCTCTTGGCTCTTACCTCATACCTCATACCTCATACCTCATACCTCATACCTCTGACGTCTGACGTCTTACCTCTTACCTCATACCTCTGACGTCTTACTTCTGACGTCTTACCTCTTACCTCTTACCTCTTACCTCTTACCTCTTACCTCTTACCTCTTACCTCTTACCTTTTTATATTTTTCACTCGTGCTTCACTCCAGGTTTTTCTTCTTTTTTGTTTTGATCTGCCTCCTTCTTTCTGCTTTGAGCTTGGTTCATCCCCTGTTATGCTTAGTATTCCGTCTGGGTTCATGGACCTCGATATGCGTCAAGAGGAACACCCCATGGTGCCCTCTACACAAGGGATCAAATACACATTGCGGGTGTGCCACAGACCAACCCTGGCTCGTCTTCCAGGCAAGCTTTGATTGCGTGGGATTCGGGAGGACAGTGTGCTCAGGCGTCTTTGTGAGGCCTGTTTCGTTTGGTCTCGCGCACAACGAAATTCTGGCTCGGCTCGAGCCTCGTCCCCGGAACGTCTTTGCCAAGCGCGTCATTCTTTACGAGTATGCGGGAGAATGAATCTGTCCGCGATTGCTCTTGTGGGCTTGCGACAGAAGCTTCTCATCATGGGCGCCGCCTGTGCTCTGTAAAGTGCTTGCGATTCGGACTCGTCTCTTTGTGTAGGTGCACGGTCGACATTCACATGTATCCCCTTGGCGGTGTGCCTGTTGCAGTATTATGTGCCTCGTTGAGTCTGGCTGGATATTCTTTGTCCTGGGCCCTTCTGACGACTGTAAATTGAGACACAAACGCAGGGAAATTCACATAAGAAGCTCGACCAAACACCCTTCTGCTCTCCTCATTAGACTTTCCAAGCTAGAAGCGAAGCCGTGAGCTCGTTGGCAGGCTCTGGAGTTCTTGTCCATTGACTTTGCTGGGAAAGCGCAGTTCCAAGACCTCTGGAAATGATTGACTGGTCACAACTCATTTCGATTCAACTACCCCACACAGCGAATCCAGCTTCCATCCAGAACAACTCAAAACTCAGATTCCTTAGGGTATCAGTTGGATCAAGTAAACCACAGCGATGTTGTGCCACACCCAGCCGGGATGTGATGGTTGGTTTCAGTGGAGATAGTTTAATAATCCACACAATCAAGCACAGCCAAATCGATTTCCCGCATCGTGACGTCAAATGACCCTCTTGATCCAGCAACAGCTTCGCATCATCCTCCCGAACGCTTGCTTCCATGATCTCCCGAACAACAATTTCTCGGCGACATTCACCACTCACAGAGGCTTGCATCACAACATTACATGCCCTGTCCGTCACGGGCCACCGTTACTCACCAGCCGACATTGGATTCGCCCCAGTTGGCCACCGTCATTTCACGCGCCGCCATTAGACTCCTTGTCATTCTATTCGCCGCCATTGGACTCACCGCCAGATCATTCGCCGCCAGATCATTCGCCGCCAGCGGACTCACCGTTCACGGCCCTTCAGACATGGACCTCGCCTGTGCGAGCCTCTTCCTTTGCGCGTACGCTCTCCCTTCCTTGCGCCGTGTCTTCATTAAGCTCCTTGAGCATCTCCTCCTCCTCCTCAGTGAGTCCCGAGAGGTCAGGGGGAATCTCGTCCATGCGCACCAGCGGGGCGGCGTCGATCGTGCGGAGCTGCTCGAGAACGTGCTGGCGCACGCAGTCAAGGTACTTCTTCAGATTCTTGTTGTCGAGCCGACCGTCCAAGGGTGGGTGGAGCGAGTAGTCGGGCCCAAACCACTCGTAGGTCGGGATGCTGGACGGGATCTTGGGCTCAAGCGTCACGTCGTTCAACACGGACGTCTCGTAGCACCAGAGCCGCGACACGTTGCGCGGCGTGTACCCCCCGCCGCCCAACACGAGCATCGGGATGCCGAACGACTTGGTGAACTTGACGCACTCGCCGTGCGCGCGGATGTTGAGGTTGAAGCAGCCCAAGCGGTCGTAGCCCAAGGAGTCCGCGCCGCACTGCTGCACAATGCACGTGGGCCGGAACTTCGTGATCAAGGGCTCCACTATCAGCTTGTAGAGCGCGAGGTACGAGTCGTCGTCGATGCCGTCCTTGAGCGGCACGTTGACGCTGTAGCCCAAGCCCTTGTCGATGCCCACCTCGTCGATGGCCCCCGTGCCGGGAAAAAACTCGCCGTTGAACTTGTGGAACGACACCGTCATCACGCGGTCGGTCAAGTTGAACGCCTCCTGGACGCCGTCGCCGTGGTGCAAGTCGATGTCGATGTACATCACGCGCGCGTGCACGCGGAGCAAGTTCAAGATGGCGAGCACAATGTCGTTGGCGTAGCAGAAGCCGCTCGGCTCGGCCTTCTTGGCGTGGTGGAGCCCGCCGGACCAGTTGATGGCGATGTCGCTCATGCCGCTGATGAGCTTGCGCGACGCGTCCAACGTGGCGCCCGAGTACACCAGCGAGTACGCGTACATGCCGTCGAAAATCGGGCAGTCGTCGCCGATGTTGAACTGCGCCAACTTGTCCGTGTCCATTTTGGCCGCGAGCTCGGGCGTGATGCGCTGGAGGAACTCCACGTAGTCCTCGGAGTGGAACGCCATGAGCTCGTCCTTGGTGGCGGCCCGCGGCTCGTACAAGTCCATTTTCTCGTGCAACTTGTACAGGAGAACAAGGTGGTCCGTGAGCATCAACCGGAACGGCTTCATCGGGTGGTGCGGGCCGTAATGGAAGTGTGCCGCCTGGTTGTTGTAGTGGTACAGCACGTTCTTCAACGCCAGCTGCCGCAGCATTTGGTAGAGCGGCTGCTGCGCCGTGGTCTTGGTGTCGGTTGAGAATGTCGCCGACATGACAGCCGTGGGTAGGGGTATAATGGGTATAATGGGCCAGGGCAGCGGGCGTGGACGGGCAGGTTTTGGAGCCTTGGGCCACAGGCTGGGTGTCTCCAGAAATGAGCGGTGCTGGTGCACGGGTGTATGGCTCGGCGCCCCAGCCCGGGGCTGGGGCACGATTATCTGACGGCACAAGGGGGCGGCAGGTCCCAGCCGCGGGCCCTCGGAAGTGCCCATACCCCGGCTGGAGCTCCGGGGGCCAGGGGCGGGGGCTGGACAGGGGTGTTCCTTGTCACGTGACTGACGGCACGTGCGCGGGCCTTCCGCATTTGCAGCCATCGCTCGCCTGTTCGTCCTGGCAACGCTCTGTCAATGGCTCAACTTGACAGCTAGCCACAAACTAATGCCAGCTTTTCCCTGTAAACGTGCTCTGGCTCTGCCCTTGTTTGTAGATTTCATAGTTGCAGCTTCATTAAGGGAAGCATGAAGTTCTGCTCATGAGCGGCTAAAGAACTGGAGTCTTCTGGTGGTCTTTTTGAGTATACTTTCCGCCGGAGGCCCCATATGTAGATCGCCCAATAAACCGATGACATCAATTGTTTGGGCGACACGCTTCTTTCTAATGCCTCAAGGTAAATCAAGGAAAGGCAATCAAGGTGAGGCAATCAAGGCGAGGTAAATCATGGTGAGGCAAACAAGGAAACACATGATACAGTCGCTCTCAAATGCAAGGCTTGTCAAGACGAGCCCTCAAATCTACCACCGGATACCAAATCCCATTCATGAGGAGCTGCAGGGAAAACGTTCCAGTTGTTGGAGATTGTTACATGAACCAGTCACCTCACTTTGTTCCCAAACAAAGGAATGGCTGCAAGATTTTTAGTCTGGTCAACCAACTCCCTCCAGGTCTGCAGTTCGAGTGCAACCCGATAAGGTATTGCTGTCACGAAATGCCTATTTGAAAGTACCCATGCCCCGTTTGAAAGGACAGAGCTGCAGCCAAAAAATGCCACTCAAAGATGCCCCGCTCCAAAAGACAAAACCCTCAATCCTCAATCCTCCTCAAAACTCACACCTTTCTGAAAACCAAACACCCTCAAAACAACCCCCCTCAAAACAACCCCCCTCAAAACAACCCCCCTCAAAACAACCCCCCTCAAAACAACCCCCCTCAAAACAACCCCCCTCAAAACACAAGACAAAAAACACCATTCTTCCCACCCTAAAAATACGCGCCGATCCCCCAGCAAACAGGCCAAAACAGAACTCGCAAAAAGGAAAAGCCGGTTGCGCCCCGTTGACAAACTCATCCCTTTATATTACCCCTGAGACCCTTACCCCTGATATTCATTAACTGAAACCATTGACCCGAAAAATCTAACCGCCGAAATGGAAAAGTGTTTTCGAGCACCCTTCTCATTAAAGAGCGAGTATTGGTACAGGGTAGTGTCCTGCCCACAAGCTCGCCACCTCCACGCACCTCACCTAAACTAGACCCGTCTCTTACTACAGCCGTCATCTTTACATCAACACAAACATGTCTGGTATGTGACTTTTTGCCCCCATTGAGCACCCGTATACATTGCATGCTTTTGACTAGTACCGCCCGAATTGCCCGGCGCCCATGCCCGGTTTGGATCGTGCCCACCTATGTTTGCGAGCCCGTTAGCCGCCGGGGAAAATGACGCCCTCACGGCCCCAAGATCTTGCCAAGCTTCCCCGTTTCCTGGAAATGCCACGTGCTCTTGAGATGGCCATGGCAGTGCCCGAAAACGGCCTTTTGTGCCCCATCGACCCGCCCACCAGCAACGCAAGTGGGGCCCCCGCCCTCGAATCGGGCAGCACGTGATTAGCGGTTCGGCCCTGCCAACGCTGCGCCATCCTGCCCAACATGCCTAGCTTAGTGTATCGCTGCCTGCTACCACTGGGCGTCCCCCCTCCCCATAGATCCAAGCAAAGTTTTCGTGTACTAACCGCCAGGCTCCGCAGGATTCGACAGACACATCACGATCTTCTCGCCCGAGGGGAGGTTGTTCCAGGTCGAGTACGCGTTCAAGGCCATCAACTCGGCCAACATCACGTCCATCGGCGTCACAGGCACGGACTCGGCCGTGTTGATTTCGCAGAAAAAGATCCCGGACAAGTTGTTGGACCCCGCCACGGTGCTGTACCTCTTCAAGATCACGCCGTCCATCGGCATGTTGGCCACGGGCTCCATCGCCGACGCGCGCTCGTTGGCGTTGCGTGCTCGCTCCGAGGCCGCCGAGTTCCGCTACAAGTACGGCTACGAAATGCCCGTGCAGAGCATTGCCAAGCGCATGGCCAATGTTTCGCAGATATACACGCAGAGAGCGTACATGCGCCCGCTCGGCGTGGCGCTCACGTTCTGCCAAGTCGACTTCGAGGACGAGGCGCGCGGGCCCCAGCTCTTCAAGTGCGACCCCGCGGGCTACTACACGGGCGTGAAGGCCGTCGCCACGGGCCCCAAGCAACAGGAGGCCACGACGCACTTGGAGAAGAAGTTCAAGAAGACCGAGTGTGTCAACGGCGACTGGAAGGCCACGGTCGAGTTTGCCATCACCGCGTTGAGCTCGGTGCTCGGCACCGACTTCCGCAAAAACGACATCGAGATAGGCGTGGCCACGCAGGGCGAGTTCCGCGTCTTGACGCCCGACGAGATCGACGAGCGGTTGGTCGCCATCGCCGAGTTGGACTGAGCGGGGCGCACGTCTCGCGCACGCGCTCTAGCGGCGTGTACGTCCGAGGCAGCGCAGTCGTCCTCGCTCGTCAACCAGAGTTCTGCGCTGCCTCAGACCCAAGTTTCTAGGCAGTTTACTTTTTTGATAGGAATAATATGTACTCTTTTGGGCACGGTCGCAAATCACCACACGTACGGGATGAACATGTATGGGCACGCCTCAAGGTACCTGTCCCAGTCCTTCCCGTACTTGCGGGCACACTTCCGCTGGTCTCGGTACGCTCTGTGCACCAACACAATCAAGAAGAAAACCGGGAAGAACCACGGGAAGGGCGAGGCAAAGCCACAGATGAGCCCCCACGTGAGCGACTGGACGTAGTCCGCGGTGTAGTGCGCCTTGCGGGCGTACTTGTACCAGCCGTCAGTCAACAACAAGGACCCATTCTCGCACCTGATGTACGAGGGGTTCACGAGATCAGAACATGGCAAGTAAGGAAAGGTTTTCCTGAGGTTGGTGTTGCCGGACATGATCCTTCTGAAACTGTTCTTTTGTCTGTTGCCAGTGTCGAAGAAGAAGTACGCCACGGTCAAGACTGCAAACAACGACACGTTGTACATGGTGGACCAGCGGTACTCCGAAGGGTCGTGGTAGGCCACAAACAAGGTGCAGTGGCAGTACGTGTAGGGCACGCCGGCAATGTTCCAGAAACACAACATGAACCCAAACTTCTCGTAGGCCATGTCCCACGTGGGCACAATCAATTCCTCGCCCTTGGAGCAGGCATTGGCGTAGAGCCAGTGTGCGTAGAGGAGGAACCACGCTTGGGGAGAGGCGTGGCCGTAGGTGTCAAACTGCTTCAAGACTGTGGCCAAGGACAAGAAGTACAAGGTGAACCAAGGGATTCTCACCTCGAAGAACATCTTGATGTCCAAGTACTTGCCGATTCTGGGGTTCAAGGGCGCGCCCATGAAGCAGTCGTAGATGTGGTTGCCTGTCATTCTGTGGTAGTCCTTGGACACGGTGAGCGTGTAAACGTACAAGCCGATGGAAAAAACAAGCCCGTACACAATGGCGGTGACCATGATCTCGCCAAAATGGTCGATGATGAAGTACATCTTGTACCCGGCGAAATGCATGCCAATGAGAACAACGTTGGTGGTGTAGAAAGACCACACGGCGTTGCAGTAGTAGGGCAACTGCTTGCCTCCCAAATGGGTCAAGGGTTGTCCTTTGGTCCAGACGCCTGGGAGCACCAAGTAAAAAACGCCTTGCACCACGAAGAAAACGGTGAACACGGCCACCACCGTCAACGACGGAACACCATGCTGCACGAAATACTGCCACAACTGCTCGCCAAAATCGGTCCAGGTTTGCTCGTCCGCAGGCCATGCGGGCTGGCCGCCGTAGAACTGGGCGCTGATCCACATGTACACCATCAAAAGAGGGAACCCGATCATCATGCCCAACGCTCCGGCCGGACCGCCGAATTCCCACTCAATCTGGTCTTTGGGCAAGTACTTGCCCTCGGAGGCGTCGACCAAGGGTGCGGCTTCAGACTGCGACATTGTTTTGGTGATGTATCCTGAATGCAAAAGAAAAAAGAAGAAGCGGCAAACTCCTCGGAATGTTGGGACTGGAGACACGTTGTTTGTTTTTCAGCCGCCCATATGCAGACTGGCACCTCGCCTGTACGAGCAAACGAGGAAACGACCAGGGCTCGCGCAGACGGCTCCGGAGTTCACCAGCCGGAAGGCTCACGGGGCCGGTTTGTTCTGCGAGGTATGTCAGTGTTTTTCTGCCGACTTTTCCACGGATCAATTGGCCATAGTGGGGTCAGCCGTCACCGTGTATCTGCATATGAATGTGTTTTCCTGGACACTACGCCCCCCCCCCCCCACCGGCACTCCGTTTCAGTCAGTTGAGCAGGTGACAGCAAGATGCACTTATCCCACGTAGTGAAACTTTTTTGCATAGAAGCTGAGTTTCCATGTAGTGAGTAATCACCCTGGGGTGTCCAGCCATGTCGACTGGCCACTGGCATCAGACACGCCAGGTATTATAATGGCAAGGATTGGTGTCTGCTTAAGACAGTTCTCCGAACAAGAGGTTGATATCAGACGAAAATGGGTCCTGTTGTAGAGCACAAAGCGCAAGCTACGGCAATCTTGCGTGTGATTCCAGCTTCGCTCAGCCCACAAAAGGGCCTCTGCGGGAGTCCTCATTCGCCCAGTATTCCAGAAGAACGAGCACCTTCGAACTGATGAGCCACAGTAAACAAAAGTCGTTTCACACTTGTGAAATACACCTTCCAATCCTTGCGCGGGATCCAGAGAACCTCAAAGAAACGCTACGACATCGCGGCATCGCCACGCATGGACATCTCCAGCATTTGCGTGTTTTCAAGACGTCGGCAGGTTTCCCCGGCGCGGCACACTAGCAAAAAGGAATGTCGCTCGTGCTGCCGCAGAAGTCGTAGACTCGCTCGTCAAGCTCGCCCTGAAGCGCCTTCCGGTTCGCATTGCGGAACAGCTTGATACTAGCCACCATGTCCAATGACTTGAGCGAGCTTCCGTTGCCCAACTTCAAGAGCCCGAGGAAATAAAGCTCGATTTGCTCGAAGTGGTTCTCATCAACCACCACGGCCGAGACCAACCGGAACATCGAATGCACCATGACGCAGCGGATGTCGAACAAGCGGCTGCTCAAGTAGTAGTGCGTGCTTTCGGCGAGAACAAGATGCCTGTCGTGTTCGTATTGTGCGGCCGCCTTGCTCTGGATGAAGAACGCTCCGTCAAAGAACTTGCGGATGATGTGTTGCACGTCCGGGTGGCTCCGGGGTAGCCCGAGGAAGCTTGGCGACACCATGATCCGCAACGACAAGTAGTCCCCATGGTACTGGTGAGACGCGTCGAACCACGAGAACACACGGGGTGAGCCGTGCCCCTGTGGCTTGCTAATATAGCAGCTTTCAAGGAGCCTTGCCGGGTTCTCGCCAGTGTATTCCGGGTGGCCCGGACTCGAACGGGGAATCTCGAACGTGCGGAGACAAACCTCGGGCACAACGCGCTCCTGGAGCAGCGCGTCCACGAGCCCCAAGAGATGCATGGTCCAGCGGAAGGGCACGTGCACGAGCGCCCGGGCTTTCACGGCATCCGTGACGGACACGAACGCCACCAAGGGCCGCAAGAAGCTGGCGTTGAAGCCCCAGTACAGGCTGAACACGGCGCCGCCGGCGGTGGTGCACACCAAGCCCACACGCTGCAACGCCCGGTGGTACTCGCGGTTCGCGTGCGGATCAATGCGCCCGGTGTCCACAAGGAGGTGGTACCCCTTTTCGGGATCCACGTCCGGACCGCACAGATACACGTCCAGCATTAGCTGCAGGGCGTCCAGCCCGTCCCAGCCGGCGGCCCTGCTCAAGGCCCCGCCCACTGCGGTGTGCATAGCCGCAGAGGTCTCGATGGCGAAAAACCAGCACTTGGCGAGCGCTAGCCCGGGCGACATGTACGGCGCGTGGCGTTCCTGCGACAGCCGGGACATTTCAGAGTATCGCACGAGCAAATCGCGGGCGCCCCGCAAGTGGTCTTTCCAAGAACTGGGCGCGTGGGCGTCGAGGAGCGTGGAGGCGGCCGTGAAGCGCGTGCTCATGATCAACACGGTAAGAAGAAGCCGCTCGACGCTGCCGGCAAACACGGCCGAGTTGTGGAGGAACTGGTGGCTGGTGAACGCGTTGGTGAGCGCCTTGAAACACACACGCGTGTAGAAGTGCAGCGCCCGGTCGTGCCGCTTGTCATTGGTGCGGATGAACTGCAAGGTGGCGGCGATGGCGAGCAAGGACGTGAGCAAGTACGTGCATTTCACCAGTGCCGAGAGGAGCAACCGGGCCACGCCGTTCGCCTCGGCCAGCGCGGCGAAGGGGAAAAGGTGGAACGACAAGTCGGTGGTGGTGAGCACGCGGAGATAGGACACGTGCGGCTCGCGGAGCCTGTTTTCACGCACGCACTGTTCGACGAGCACGGACGTCGGAAGTGATAGGTGTTTATGGTGGGTGTGGGGCGACAACGAGCTTTCGAGCAAGTCCCGGTTGAGGGGGAAGTCGTCGATGTTGAGGTCGTGCTGGTCTGATGAAGACGCCGGGTTTGCGAGACCAAGTTGTGTGTCGAGCTGGGGAGACGTGTTTTGGGCTTCACCGTGGGGCAAAGTGTGGTCTGTGTGATCTGGATGTTCTGTGTGATTTGGATGCTCTGTGTGATTTGGATGCTCTGTGTGTTCTGCGTGCTCTGTGAGTTCTGCATTCTCTGTGAGTTCTGCATTCTCTGTGAGTTCTGCGTGCTCTGTGAGTTCTGAGTACTGTGGTTGTTCTGGGTACTGTGAATGTTCGGAGTCCTTCCGAGCCAGCTGCTCTTGGTGCTCTGTCCGCTTTATCATATCATGTTCTATCTGCTTAGAACTCTGGCGTTTTTGTTGCTTTGGAACCTGGTGCTCTGTCTGTTCGGAAACCCAGCACCCTGTCTGTTCTAGAATGGCGTCTAAGTCTCCCGCGTTGTCGCCTGCGTCTATCAGGAGGTCAAGATAGAAGCCGTCTAGAAACAAATTCACATTTTCCTGCAAGTTCTGCATGTCCAACGGCAAAAAACTAGGCAGCGTTTCCAATGGTGGTTTTCCGGTCCAATCGAAGTGTGCCAGCCCCAGGGTGTCGCCGGTTCTTGCCGGTGGTTCTGCTCGCTCCAATGTCGCTTCTGAGCCCGTATTTATATCTCGCTCCAAATTCCCAGATACAGCAGTGATGGGCTCTACGCGTGAAATCCCGTCTGGAGACCGCGTTGGCAACCACCGGTTTGGATACCGCTTTGGAGACTCGTCACCATGTGCTCCACGATACTGCTGCCCATCTGCTGGGATGCCGTTCGGTGTCGTGAGTCTGCGATTGGGAGTCACGTCACGGACATGCAAGTCCGTTGTTCCAGCCTTTTTCGGCCGGTAAAATTTTACCGTAAGCGGAGCTTCTTTTCTTCCCACGCTGTTTCCTGGAGCGCCCGAACTGATATTTTCAGCGTGATCCCGTGGCTCCGTGCCGGCGGGATACACGCATATCTTCTTGAGCCGCGAGCAGTTGTAACAGGCCAACTCAGTCTCATCACACTTGATTCTGCGGCGCTTACACTCCACACAGCCTTTGCGGGAATACTTTCGTTTCTTGATCTTGCGGTGCACGTGCGTGTCTGGACCCGGAACCGCTGCCATCTTGGATGTATAAATGCGGGCCGGAATTGGTTGTGCCACTCCAAATAACAGTTGTTCCCTTTCGAAAGTCCCCTTTTGTTTAACTTTCGGGGGATTATTCCTTGCTACCAAGATCACAAAAGGCCTTGGCGCCGGCTTCCGTGACTTGATGGTGATTGGCCCGCCGCTTGCTGATCTATTGTGTCACCACGTTGTCTGCCAAATCTGCTGGATCTGGCATCTGATTCCGCGTCGAGGTATTCCGCGCCGGCCCCAGGCTTAATGAACCGGGGCCAGGGCTCATATAGCGCGACCATCCTGTTGGACCAAAAATGAAAGTCAAACGCCAACAGAGAACCAGAAACTGGGCCGTATCAAATGAGGAGCCTTGACAATGTCCAATAAGGGTCGTTTGATATCCTTGCCCAGTTCCTCTTCTACACTCTCTTCTTTCCTTCTTTCATTTTTGCACCTTTCCTTCCTCTTTCTTTCCTTCTTTCTCCTCAACTTATAGACCATACTAACTCCAGAGATAGTCGATCCTCCGCTCCATGAAAAATGCAGTCCCGTGATGATGGTGAGCTCATGCGTGCCTTACATCTTTCGAAACTGAGTTCCCGGGAACGGGCCAAATAAAGAGAAATATATTTGAAATGGTCCGAAAGGAACCGCTATATCCGCTAGAACAAAATCATGTGACACGATCTTCGATAAATGTACATCGATCCAAGCAGCAACTCGGCATTCACTCAAAGAATGTTTTGGATCTTGGTCAAGATGCGTCTTCCGTGTGGCGTATTCTTGATATTAGGCAAAAAAGGCTGCAAACTGGCCGCTAACTTTGCAAGATCGGCGGGGCTCGCAACATCCAAACTGGTCTGTAACACGTAGTTTCCGTATGGGTCGTTCAACAAGAGTGAAAATTGTTTCTGGTTTCTCAACAACACGTCGATTACGGTGTCTGTGAGGTGGTTGATCCTTAAGGACTTCTCGATCACGTTGGACCCAAACTTGTGGAGAGATAACGACACGATGTGCGACAGTATGTGATCCAATATCATCGAAATGGACTTCTCGTCTCCCCTGGTCAACACATATTGCACCACGTAGTTTCCAAATGGATCCAATGACAAGTTAGTGGAGATCTCAGCAACCTTCAAGGACAACTGCCGCCGTTGACGAGAGTTTCCGTGGTCCAAACATCTTTGTAAAACACAGCACCCGTGTCTGTGAGTAGCTATCTGCCCACAGTGCATTGATGCAGTGTCGAAAATAAACTGGTTGTCCTCTGGCTTCAATCTTTGCAAACATTTCTGCACAACATGATTACCATTTAAATCTCTGGACAAAGACACCACATGCGGACACAAACTCTCGATGACGATACGCGACTCCTCGGGCGTAGAAATGCACTCCACGAGCTTTTGCAAAGCTCTGGTACCGTGGGGATCCAATGCGATGCGTATAAAATCGGGCGCTGCGTTTTTCACAAGAATTAATCTCTGGTCTGCAGATACACTCTCAAATAACTTTTGGATGAGGTAGTTCCCAAAAGGATCAATCATCAACTCAACGATTTTCAAGTAAAGCTCGTTGAAGATCATAGTGGCTGCCACGTCTTTACTCAATGACTTGTCCCCCGAGCTGGTTTCTCCTCCAAGGTCCAACTGTCTTTGCAAAAACCGACAGCCATGCTGATCCTTACACAAAGAATAGATTTGTCCAGTAAAGTCTTCCAACTTCGCGTTGGCGTACTTGCTTGCGTCATCCCCTTTTCTTCTGTTTGAATTATGCATTTTCCTGTGTATGTTAACTCCACCATTCATGTGATGGTTGTTGCGCCTGTTTCCACTATAGTGCAGACCCGAGTCTCCATGCGAACTTCTGGAGCCGCCGTACCCGTTCGGGGTTTCAGGAAATCCCGAGTTGGCCAATTGACTTTGGGTTTGACTCACGGGGGACGACATCATGTTGATTGGACCAAACTGATTAAACAGATTGTTTAAGTATCCGTCGTTGTGGTGCTGGGAGGAAAACTGAGGAATCTGCTGCGTAGAATTCCATAAATTGGACCCTGCGTAATGCTGAGGGTGCATGGAAGACTTACCCTTTGTTTCGTCTTCATTTCCGTCGAAGCTGGTGTTGCCGTTGCCATGTGAGTACAGTCCTCTATCGCCGTTGGCATCTCCAGTACCTTTGGTGAAGGCACCGTATCGAATCGCCCCAAGGTTGTCGGGCGAGGAAGAGCTGAAGTTGTCAAATGCAAAGCGGGAGTCCAAGATTCCACCAAAGTTATGAAGCTGCTGGGGGCCAAGTTGGGACGCGGTGCTGTTCTGACCAGCGAGTCCTATAGGCAGGGCGTTCCCCACGTGGTCTTCTGGAAGATGAAAAGGAGGGATTTGCAACGGCATTTCTGCATGCATTGAAGGATCTGAAACGGGGTACGCCATGGGAGGTGCAGAAAATGGAAGGAAGCTGGTACCCCAACCGTATGAAGGCGTGGATGCCGGGTTGCCCAAGGTGTTCGGGATACCCGCAAAGGTGGCGACCGAAGATGGATTCGGTGTCAAGATATCTTGGGAGAGAAGCCTCTGAGGTGGCACAGACGAGGCCTGGTCGCGCTCGTCGACGGGATACGAAGAGCTGCGCTCTGCACGGACCTCGTTAGCGGGGTCTTGCGATGCGACGGGCGACGCTTCGCTAGGGTCGGCGTCCAAATTCAACGTGCTCAAAGCCCCCACGATGTCTAAGGGCTCCTGTGCAGCGTCGTCCAAGGGGTCCTCCAAGTCTTGCGTGTGTTCAGCGGACTTGTGATAGCTGTCTTCGCTTGAAAAAAAACTTGAGCCACTGGTGGCTGTCGGTGCATGTGGAAGGGACACAGAACGGGTCTGTGTGTTGAATGACATGGTGGATAGCGGTGGAATGATGGGGGATATGTGCTAGTGTACAAGATGACAGTCAGTGTGAGTTGGTGACGATCGGAATGACGGTGGCTGCTCAAGCAGAAATAGTGTACAATGGACTAATATACAACGGGTAGTTCCAATAATAGGGTTAGGGTTTGGGGCTCAGGTTGCCAGTCAACGGTGTGGACGAATCGCTGGGTATGACCAGACACGCTAGGGGAAAACCAATTGGGAAAAAGAGAAAAAAAAGGCTGCGCCGCTAGGGAGTATCCGGAATTGATGTGAGTGGGGATGCTGTCAGCAACACAAAACGGCCGTAAATTCACTGCAAGGCTGTAAAAAGGCGAAGCGGCCTTTCAAGGACTGGCCGTTGTGAACAGGCAAAAAGGCTGTAAAAACCGGATCGATGGAATGGAACCGCTGAAAACGGAACCGATGCGGATGGCGAGGGAAAAAAAACACGCACAGGGGAGGAGGCTCTAATTTTTTGCAGCGGGATATCCAAAAAGGCCTTTTTCAGTCTGGATAATACCGGCGGCTAAGAGCTGGCAATGTCGGCTTAAAAGACCGGGGATGCCTGGCGCTGGAAACGTGGGTGCGACTCGAGTCCTGGGATCCTGGAGGGAAACAGCCGCTGGGTTTTGTGGTGTACGGGTTCTTTCTTTTTTGTGTTCGCCAGGCTATACGTGGCACGTGACACAGAAATGCTTAAGTATTTGGGCTGGCTACACTTGTTAGTCTGCGAGAATTTCCGAACGGAGCTCGTCGTCTAGCGTTGTTGGCGTCTGATCCGGAAACAAGGAAAGAAAATCTGGCAGTGATTCGTGCGAAGGGGTGTGTATGGGGAGACGTTATGTGGTGGCACGAGCCGCTGGGCTTGGCGGTGCGGCGCTCTTGAAAAAAAGGTGTGGGAAATACTTTAATTTATATAATGCTCGAGATTTTGCACGTGATTTCTACTCCCACTTTGAGAACTGCGTACCAGCAATAGACAGCTGAAAGAAGGTTGAATTTGGGCCCTCGGGTCGTCGCTCCAAAGCGCCTCGTATTCTTCGCGCGAGCCAAATAGGGCCAGACGCGTGTCACGTGCCGGGTGTCACGTTCTTACTGAGTGTCACGTGCTGTGCTGAGTGTCACGTGCTGTAGCCATTGTAGGCCAGGACTCTCACACCTGGTAAAAATCTGGATGCATGTGGCAGCGGGCTTTGTGGTGTTTGGGTGCAAAACCCATACATCCCCAGCGGCCAAGTCAGCATATCACGTGACACGCCCGAAGCTTTTGTCACGTGACTGCACTCTCTCTTCATGCTTGAACTGTCATATGCCATACCTGGTCACTGCCCATATTAGATTGCGGTACAGCAATAAGGCACATCTACTGGTATTGGTTGATGATATTCCAATATCTTTGATTTCGCAGGAATTCCGAGATTTTTCTAATTTTAAAACCGCAACCAGGTTGCGTATCAATTTCCCCATTCATGCTGTCCAAGTGTTTCGCGCATTATTACCACAAGTATTCGCCAAAAATACAAATCGTAGAACCTTGAAAAGAAATAACTCCCATTGTTTCTATCCCGTCTTCTTATTTGTTTTAAAGCAAACATGCGTTCGATTTCGGCTGATATAGGGATTATGTGATTAGCTTTGTGTAGATTTCAGTAAACTGACTACTGACAAAAGAACCTAGTTCTGAACAAGTAAACCTTTGAATAATCCAAACAAATACAAGCCTGATAAGACAGAATGAGCATGAGACATTATACTCCGATCTCATGTACAGATCTAGCACTTCCATACAAGCCATGAAATGTTGACAGACAACCCGTCCATATAGCAAGATGTTATCAGGCAATATACGTAGTTTACACGTACATGAAGACTGTGAACCGCCCACCATTCAGTTTTCTTCCCAAGCATCGTAGTATGGCAGAAGTCAAGGCAATATTAGATTTTGCTGGGTGTTCCAATTTTTCTTTTTGACTCGCCTGGGCTTTCTATTTTACCTGTTAAAAACGACCTTGATTATATGAAGACTGTAAATGGTGACTCTCCGGAGTCTTAAGTATGACGCTTTTAATAGGATGCTTCTTGCCATCACGACAACTTCATACTTCTGCGGTACTTGAGGATTCTAATTTGTGCAAATTCCCCATTTTCGAAGGCAAGTAGAGTTGGAAGTGGCTCTCGAGTTAAAATTTCAGAGCGAATAAACTGATGTCGTATCATGGTCAACCTCAGGCAAAGCAAGTATTAATCAATTCGGTTCTTATGAAATAATTACAAGATTATGGCAGTACGTCACTAGCGGGCGCAAGCCACTGAATAACACAGAGTACAAAGCACGGTCCATAAATGTTTTCGAGGATTCAATAAGTGTATATTGCGAGACAGCGTTTTCTTTTCGACTCTTTTGTATTCGCTTTCTCAGTCAAGGTGTCCAAAAAAGTCATGAAGGAATAGCTGCAAAATAAATTCAGCAACTCGCATGGCTCGTCCTTTTTGATGGCTGGTTTTATTGAACAAATCAGATGTCGTAGTTTCCTGGTGGGCATGAACTCGCTATTCTTTGCCGGTACAGTTGAATACTTTGGAAAGCTATGGCAGGAATTACCTTTTTGAACATTCGGACGATGCAATACATGAGGCTCTTGGAAGCTCTTTTTGTGAAAATGGTTTTGGCCCTTCATAGCGAACTGAAGCAGTCAAAAAGGCGCATTGAAGATGGTTGTCGTTTTGCCGACGTTCTTCTGTTCAGACTGATGTTTGGGGGGCTTTTTGTAGTAAACCCCTTGTGAATACTCAAAATAAAACATCTGTGGAAGCCTTCATTCATTTACGATGAAAGAGAATTAGTGTTGGAACCAGCAAAGCCATGTTCAGAGAGAAACCTTCCATGAAGCAATCCACAGAAAATACCAAGCTAAATGGGGAAGTCAGAGTTGGCGGCACATTTGTCGTGAACTAGTAGAAAGTACCACCACTATCGGAACTCTGTGCTGATGTAAAGCCTAAAAACTGCAATGGCTAAATCAGGCCGTCGTAGGCGGTCTGACAACCCGCCCGCTCCCTTCGGGTAAGGGCGGCCCTTAAATTATAATTCACATATCTTATCATATTTCCTTCAAGGTATACAGTGATTTAGCCACACGATGATTCTGGTTTGGTTCCACTGCTTTAGGGTAGGACTGACCAAGAAAGCGTGCCGTCACAGAGTATACCCAAGACTCGTAAAATCATCAGAAGAAAAAAAAAAACGAAAGACCCGTCGTTGGTCATTTACATTTGCCAACATGACTACTATTTGATCCCTATGCCGATTTTCTCCAGCAGCAGCAGCATGAAATAAATTGTCGTGGGAAGATGTTTCATCTAGACCGTTTGAAAAAGACTTCTTTTGAAACAGGGATTTACTGGACTACAATTCTAAAAAGCTCAAAGACGGCACAAGAGATGAATGTTACAAGGTTCAAATTGGACATATGAAAATACCCAGTAAGAAAGTATGAGGCGAGAACAAATGACCAGTATCGGACTGGACCTAGCCAAGACCTAGTCAGTACCCAAGCGCACACTCTCCCACCACCCAACATTTCAAGACAACGAAGTGCTGAAGCAGGGACACCCGGCACCACGACTACAGGCCGCCTTCAGTAGGATTTTAGATTTCGAAAACTACAACCCAAGTTTAGATCATTATCTATTAATGTAATACGAATTTAAAAATATGACGGGATAAAATGTGGGGAATCAGATATAAAAATTAGGGGATGCGTGGCGGGAACCACATTAGTGTTTGCAAGCAACTAGGCACGAATGTCCGGCCGCTTAAGAAGACTTCTCGTGTTGAGTAGACACTCTGGCCATGGAGGCCATGAAGTCCTCAATCGATCTGTCGTGCGACTTCTTGGCCTTCTTGCCGTTACAGAAGTCGTCGAATGCTTGAGAGGTAGCCATCAAGTAGTAAGCACCACCCATGACACAGAAGACACCGAAGGAGAAGATCCAGGTTCTGACAACAGTGACAATGTCAGTCCAGTTCTGGGACCACCAGCCAAACAAGGTGAAGCAGGTGGCGAGGATGTCGACAATTAAGACGGCACCCGACAACTGCCAGGATGGGATGGAGGACCAGAAAGGACCGTTGGCTCTGGTGATGAAAATCAACCAGTTCTCGGTCAAGGAGATCTGCAAGAACAAGACACCGTCGATGGAACCGAAGTTCTGGATGATACCACCCTTGGACATGAACATGGTGGTCAAGGTGATCCAGGTACCAACAGCCAAAATGATACCCAAGACGATGGACATACCCCACAATCTAGGGAGGTTCCACTTGACGGGCTCGGGGTCGTAAGGGGCGTTGTCGTAGGCAATGGCCAAGGTGGCGACGTCGGCGAAAATGGCAATGAAAACAACCAAGTCAATGTTCAAGGATCTGGACAAGATGGCAATCCACAAGCCCAAGAAGATCTCCAAGTGCAAGGACAACGCAATACGGTAAACCACGTATGCGTACATTCTGTGGAAAATCTGTCTGGAGGTCTTCAAGGCGTCGATGATGGCAGACAAACCAGGGGCCAAGAACACAATGTCAGCGGCGGATCTGGCGGCATCGGTGGCACCCTCGACGGCGATACCGGTGTCGGCCTTCTTCAAGGATGGGGCGTCGTTGACACCGTCACCAGTCATGGCAACCAAGAAACCTCTGTTTTGCAAAATCTCCACGGCGTTGTACTTGTGCTGGGGGAACACTTCGGCGAAACCGTCGGCGTTCTGGACAAAGTCGGCAATCTCGGAGCCGGCCATGTCACCTCCGCCGGAAAGACCCAACTTCTCGGCGTCGTAGATGTTGGTGCCGAGGCCCAACTGTCTACAGGTCTCCTTGGCAATGCCGACGGCGTCACCAGTCAACATCTTGACACTCAAACCCAACTTTCTGGCCTCGTTCACGGTGGCGGCGGTGTCGTCTCTTGGGGGGTCCATGCAGGGCATGATACCCAAGATCTCCCAGTGGCCCTCGCCTCTCTTTCTGGCAACACCCAAGGATCTGAAGCCTCTGGAGGCAAACTCGGCAACGGTGTTCTGGTAGTTCTCGTGCACGTCCTCGGGGATAGGGTGGTCATCCTCAACAGTCTTCAAGACGAACAATGGCGCACCCTTCACGCAGATGATTCTCTCGCCCTCGGGGGACTCGACAATGGCAGTGACTTTCTTGGAAACGGGGTCGAAGGGCTGGAACTCCAACACCTTGTACTTGGTCAAAGCGGCCTTGGCTCTGGGGTAGCTGATCAACGACTTCAAGAAGGCCTTGTCGATGGCGTCCAAACCCTTCTTCTTTCTGGAGGCGGCGAGACACGCGGTCAACATCAAGTCGTCGGCCTCGACGCCCTCGACGGTGTATGGCTCGTGCAAGGAAAGCTTGTTCTTGGTCAAGGTACCGGTCTTGTCGGAACACAAGATCTCGACACCGGCGAGCGATTCAATGGCAGACAACTTCTGGACAATGGCCTGTTTCTTGGCCAAGTACGCGGCACCGACGGCCATGGTGGTGGTGACAACGGCGGGCAAACCAACGGGCACACCGATGATGGTGATGGCCAAGGTGTGTCTCAAGATAGTAACAATGCCGAGCGATCTGTAGAAACAGGCCACCCACACAACCAACAAGGTGATGATGACCAAAACCAACAACACCGTTCCAATACCGTTCAACACCTCCGTGAAGTGGCCAGAGCCACCGGAGGCCTTGTTGACCAACGCGGCGGCACGGCCAGTGAAGGTGTTGTCTCCAGTGGCAGTCACCACCATGAAACCCTCACCGGTCTTGACGGTGGAAGAAGAGTAGCAGCTGTCGCCGCATCTCTTGTCCACGGCCAAAGACTCACCGGTGATGGCGGACTGGTCAATCTGCAAAAGCACGTCCTCGGAAACCACGCGGCCATCGGCGGGGATCACCACACCGTCCTCCAACTGCAAAATGTCGCCGGGTACAATCTGGTTGGCCTCGATCTCAATCAACGTGCCGTTTCTGACGACGTTGGCCGTGTTGGCCAAGGTCTTCTTCAACTCCTCCACGATGGAACCGGCCTGGTACTCCTGGATAAAACCAACAAAGGCGTTCAACAAAAGCAACGCGCAAATGACTCCGAAATCGACCCAGTCCTCGAGACCGGCGGCCAACACGGCCGCGGCCTCCATGACGAACTGGATGGGGCCCACGAAAAACATCACGAACTTGAGCACCAAGTTCTCGTTCTCCTCGGCCATCTGGTTGTAGCCGTACTTCTTTCTTCTCTTGGTGATCTCGTCGTCGGTCAACCCGGTCTGGATGCTGGTTTGCAACAACTCCTCGGGAACGGCCTTGAAGGAAGCGCCGTCGTCCTCTTCGTCGGACTCGTCGTCGTCCAAGCCGTGGTGCGACTGCAAGTCCATGATCAATTGATCAATGTCCTCGTCATCGTCATCGTCCTCCTGGGACTTGGGGACCTTTTCTACAGTTGGCTCTGTTGCACTCATCACGAACAATCAAAGAAAGAGGTGTCGAAAGTAAACAGCAACTGTACAGTAGAAGAAAAGAGGAGAAAAAACGAGCAAGAAACAGTGGGCGCCGGGGGGTTTATATGGCCGGCTGGGCGAATGTCTTTTTTTTTTTTGCGCCGAGCATGTAGCTCCGGTTGTTTCGGTGAGGGAATTTTTTTTGCATAAACAAATAAAGGCCGCATTGGGCAAGCGCCACGGAGCGCCTGCACCTGGCGCTGTGTGCCGGCGGGCCCCCCGATAATGTCGCTGCTGCTGCGTGCGCCGCGTGCGTCAGGCCCGAGCAACATGATCCGCGCGACGCACGCTTATCCGCTGTTTGGGGGCCTGCTTATCTGGAGGCGGTCGGCGCAGATCCGAGGAATCCGGGCACAGTGCCGGGCGGTAGGCCCGGCCCTTTCGAGGGCTCGCCTGGCCTGGGGCCTCAGCTTGGGGTGCTGCCGAGGGTTCACTTTTAGTGGTGCTAGTTGTTTGTTGGCTCTATTTTCAGTGGTGTTTGTTTTTTTTATTGGCTACTTTTAGTGGTCTAGTTGTCTTTTTTTTTATTGGCTACTTTTAGTGGTCTAGTTGTCTTTTTTTTTATTGGCTACTTTTAGTGGTCTAGTGGTTTATTGGTTCTACTTGTTGTGTAAGGGTTGCACTTGTTGTTTTATGGGCGGCCTACTTTTCGTTCCACTGGAAGTTGTGCCGGTTGGTGAGCTTCTGGCTCTTTGCGTGGTGCACTTTGTTCTTTGGGCGGTGTACTTCCCTGGGTTCCGCTTGGTTTCTTTTTCGCCCGGCGCACCTCGTATTCTGCCAGAGGCAAAGGGCCAGTGAGATAGCCAGATCTGCCCCGCACTGCCATGCCAGCCTGATTTCTGGGCATGAGAAACGCCAGGCATGGCATGTTCCGGCCTGGACTGGGAAATGTCGCCAGCAGAACGCCCGAAAACACCGGCGCTATGCTGGCGCTGGCGCCGGCAACGGACGCTGTTTGTTATCGGGCGACATTTTCTTGTTTGCACATTGCTTTTTTCGGGCTGTTTGGGCTCGGGCATACAGCATGCTGGGCGCTGCACACGGAGCGCTCTTGCCAAATAGCGTGCTACTATGCACGCAGTGTCGGGTGCGCCAGGTGTTTCAGCTCAGGCAGGGTAACCCCCAGCCCCGAGCCGCCCAGTTCCGGCCGCCGCACATGTCGCCAGCGCCAGCCCGTATCCCGGTGGTTCCGAGGGGCCACTTTCCGGGGCCTCGCTGTCCGGGCACCAGCACGGAAAACGGCGGCTGGTATTTCCGCCGGATCTTTGCTGAACATTACGTAATTCGCTGCTTCCAGCCGAAGTTGCCGATGGGTTCTGCTGGACGGTCCATTTTCCGTGGACCGGCTCACGTGGATATTCCGAAAACACCTGTGCATTTCTACTCGGTGGATGTTCCTCCCGTCTACAGGCATAATTTACAAGCAAAGTCATGGGGACATTCGTGCCGGCTGTTCTGCCCGGCACTTTCAGCACCCGGAATTGGCTCTGGTGTCTGCAGACACAATTATAGAACAGAAGAAAAAGTAGACAGGTGTGTCGTGGTCTAGATAGTGGGGCCTTGATACTGTGGGCCTTGATATGTGGCCAGATAACGTGGCCTTGATGCGTGGGCAGATGTCGTGGCGATGCGTGGGCAGATGCTGGTCGCAGATGTCGGTCGCAAATGTCGGTCGCAAATGTCGTGGCGAGGATGCTTTCGGTGGCAGCCCTCCATGTCGCGGCCATCGCGGTATTTACGTCAAGCCCGCCTTTGGCTAATGCACGAAACAACATACCCGCTTCGGGACGTTGCCTTCCCAATAAAGACCAGCACTGCGGATTAAACGCACCAGGGAGTTTTAATACTTAATTCCCGGGGGCACGGGTGTGGTGCACCAGGGGGCCAGCGCCAGCAAGCAAGCCAGCGGCAATTTGTCAGAATACCCTTTCCTGCAAAAGTGCCAGCGGGGCAGGCCGTTCACCTGGCACATTGCATAGCGGGGACGAAAAAGCAATGCCAACAGGTTTCTGACGTACATTCAGTGGAACGTCCTGCGCTCCTCTCGCGATGCGTGGTTTCTTGAGTCGCATTGTATTTCGTCATCTCAGCAGCAGTGAGATGGCGGTCGTGCCGTTGCCATTTTCGCCACGGGTCCAAAACCTAACCCGGTTCCCCCGTGGGGCAACGGCGCATAAGAAAATCCATGGCCACGGCCACTTTCGAGCCAAGCAGCAGGACACCTCTACTCTTTACTCTGCTATGGTGCCTGGCGGGCTGGCCACGCGCCTGCCAGATTGATGGGCCGTGTGTCTACTCTGCCAAGCCTTCCGTACATTGCCCGTTCTCACGGCTGGCGCACTGGCGAATGAGAAAAATCACTCAGAAATGTCGCGCTTCCGCGCCGCCGCGCTTCCGGATCTCAGCATCCCCTTCGGAGTCGGCAATTGTAGCCGTCTTCGCGCCGTTGGTTTTCCGGGTCTATTTTCGGAAACGCACGGTTGACGTGAGGGGCTTCTCATATCCACGCCAGACAAAGCCAGCCGGCTACCATCTTTCGCCATGTCTTCGAAATACTGCCCGTCGATGATGTCATTGCGTGAGAACGCCCAGCCAGCTGCGTAACTCCAAGGTGTGTGATGAATTACGAAGAGCTTATCCGAATAAAGTTCTTGATATCACGCTCCAGTGACAAACTGTAGCTACACATAATCTTTAAAAAAACATAAGTAGTAGATGAACATGAAATACCGTGTCCTGTTCTTTGCCATGGAGAGCCATGGAAATGGATCGTGGATTTTTTTGCCACGCCTGAGGCGAAACCTGGTGTTTGGGTCCTTGTTGATTTGCGAGGTTGACACTGGGGTATGCGTAAGCGACTGTCCTCAGGGCCACTGATTGGCTGAGACATGGCCCTAATCTTTTGCTATCGGTTTTTCTTTGTTTTGCGCCATTTTTTTAATCCCGCAAGACGTCTCCGCCTTCCAGTGCCGAAGACTTGCTTTGAGGACGTCTCGTCTTATTGTCCCAGTTTCTTATTCAATTGCATCATGTGAATTTGCCGGAGTAGTGATAATTACAGTAGGCCGTCGAAAGGCTCTCGAGCTCCATCATCCATTTCCCGTTTCCAATGCCAGCGCCGCTTGCGGTTCCTGCAGTATGTATCTTTCTCCATCGTGCAGACGAGGTCTCGGACTGAAGAGACCCATGCCCTAAAACCATCTTTCCCCGCGTTTCTGCATCCATGATTGGCCAAGTAAAAGGTTGTGAGTTCTGATGGGATGTACGTCGCTTTTCTTGGAGTCTTGTGCCTGGTGTAACTTTCTGCTCGGCCTGCTCATTCTGCGATTTCGGCGGTGTTGGGGTTATTGACCCGAATGCCCAAGTGCGCCTGCTGCGGCTCAAGCACGTAGAGGAAAACCCCACTCACATGGCGGTAATAACCCAGGTATCTGTTGGAATGGCTGTGTTCTTTTTGTTTTCTAACTGCTGCTTTTTTTGGGGACTGTCCGCTAGGGTCATTCCTAGTATTACACCTCCGTAGTCTCCGATGGTCTTTATTATCTCTGTGGTCTTTAATATCTCTGTGGTCTTTATTATCTCTGTGGTCTTTAATATCTCTGTGGTCTTTAATATCTCTGTGGTCTTTATTATCTCTGTGGTCTTTATTATCTCTGTGGTCTTTATTATCGCATTACATATATAACTTCATGTAGTGTTTCTTTCATCGGGCCTTTCTTCGTCGTGAAGTTTTTTTTTTTTCGATTTGGGTCTTTCTTTTTGTCTGGAATGTTTCTGACCTCTTCGGGACTTTCTCGTGTAATATTTCTTGTCTCTTCTGGTCTTTCATTTCTCCTCGCGTATTACCTCTTCGGCTCTAATTTTCTCGTCTTCACTGACGCTTCTTGCCTGTGGTATCTCTTCGTCCCCTTAAAGTCACGATCCCTGCCCATCTTAAAGATCCCCGCTCATTTTCTATGTCTAGTTTGATCTTAGCTGCGCTTCGATTCTCATCAAGTACCTCGTCTACCAATGATTTGTTCAGCTCACTCCAGAATTACACTTGTTCGTTTGTATAACTCTTTTTGTTTACTTCTCTTCCAGCTCGCGTCGCTGTCCTTTGTATGTCTGCTTCCTAATCTCCCTCCCTGTATTTCTTCATTGCATCCCCAACCTTGAACGCCTTCTAGTTGGTCCATGCCACCAGGCTACTTCTCCCCCTACAGTTGTCTGGCCAGTTTCTTCCATGCATCCATGTGTCCTTGTTCATTCGCTCTGCTGCCTTGCCCATTTTCCGCTTCGTTCCTGGATCCTCCTTCCATGGTGCTTGCCCTCAATCCACGGTCTTTCTCTTCTGGATCCACCAGCGGATGGGACGTCCTATCTTCAGCAACACGTACAAAACACTGCCCACTAGCCGGAACCCAGCCAACGCACACACAACCCATAAAATCACCGTGAGAAACACGGTGGAATTGCGCGAGTCGTTCCAAATATCGTTCAGGTCGCCGCCCGCGGCCAAAACAACCCCCACCAAAATGGCATTCGTCAACATCCAGACCAACACCGTGATGGTTCGGATGAACGCGTAGTATGAGTCGTCCTGTTCCTTTTTGTTCTTCGCAACCACGGGCGCCACAGGCGCCACCTTCAAATCATCCAACGTCTTCATGTAGCTCTGCTCCAATTCCTCAGGAGATCCCGGGACAACGGTCATGACCAACTCACCATCCACATCAGTGACCTTGGCCGTGCCCAAGTCCTTGGCCTGGGGAGAGTCTCTGTTTCCCCACGAAACATCGTGGATGTTGCAGAACGAATAGATATTCAATACGTTGACGTATGACGGCGAAAGCAAGAGGTACTGGAAAAATGAAGTCACCATGAACGATGGCTCTCCATGGATCACTGCACCGATCGCGTAGAGAATGTACGTGCTGACGACGGAAACAACAAGATCCCGGAGCTTCTGGTTGGTGAATAGCATACCCACATTGAAATTGTTGTCCGTCTCACTCATGACAAGCTTGACGGTATTCACGGCCAAGTAGACCGCACCGAACAACAAGTAGGCCATCAACACGGCAAACACCACCGTGATCGTGATGTATAGCTTCTTGGTGCCTCTCGGAGTGTTGCCGAAAGCCAACACAAACGTGCACACAATGCAGCCCACGTATATCCAGAGGAAGGCCTCGGAAATGTACTTGCCCATGCTGAAGCCCACCTCGGACGAGCCCAAGTTTTTGGTCAAGATACGGAACACGAGGAAAAACGACGCGAGCGAAAACCACGACACCAACACCGTGACCAAGTGATAATAAAACTCGAGCTGGAGCCAGAGCTTGCGGAGGAGCGAGTGGTTGGACCGCCAGATTTGCGTCCAGTGGAACACCGAGTACATGGCCGCAAACAACGAGCCGTTGAGCCACCGCCGCCGCTGCAAAACAAAGTCATCCACCTTTTCTGGGACGTCGGTCTCGGCAGTGGCACTGCTCACGTACCGCAACACATAATTCTTGTTCTTTTTCGCCACGAGCTCGAAACACAAGATCCGGTCCTCGGCAAGATACATGTTGGAGGTGAAGATACCGGACTCCAGAAAGTTGCGCTCCTTGAGCTCGGCCTCGTCGTCGTCCTCGTCGTCGATTTTCGCGGTCTGGTGCAAGAACTCACCCTTGAAGTACTTTTCGAGCGGACCATGGCCGTCCACATTGAGCAACGCGTCCCAACGGTACGCCGAAAAGGCGCCCGGGAGCACGGAGATAAACCCAAACACAGACTCCATCGGCTTGTCCAAAACACTGGCGATCTTGTACTCGAAGTTCTGCGCCGCAACAAGCGGATTCAGAAGAAGCTTCTTGTTGGGCCCGAGCGCCACCCGCATTTCGCCACAAGCGCCGGCCACGTGCGGGTCTTTGAACGTGCTCCACAAGTGGTAGAACGCGTCCTTGCCCGGCCGAGTGCCGCAGTCCAAGAGCATAATCACCTTGGGGTTCAACAACGGCGCAAACGCCTGGAAACACCACCGGTGCGAATTGATCTTGCGTGCGTTCTTTTCTTTGAGACAGAACATCAATTGCACGGGCGTCTGACTCACGTTGAGATACACCCGGTCGCTCGAGACTCGCTCCACGCCCACAGTGCTCGTGTACTCGTAGAGATGCGCCTTGACGGTCCGGTTGTTGACCTTGGACTTCGCGTACCCTTCCTGGAATACGCCTAGTGCGCTGAGAAGCTTCTGCGTGCGCTCGTTGAGCTGGAGCCGGCCGTCGTTGACAATCACCACGGTGACTTTCTTCCACAGCCCGTCACCCCAAACGGAATCCGTCCGCCGCGTGAGGTTCTCGAGATTCTCAAATACACCCTGAAGCGTGCGTCCAAGAAGAACCTCGTCCTCGTTGTACATGGTGATGCACACCATGATCTCCGTCTCTCGGGGCGGTGAGTACATGTTCTGCCGAAGGGCATAGTTGAAGCCCACGAAGTTCAGCGGGCCGCACGTGACACCCGAGTACCGCACAAACGACGTCTCGTCGCTCTGCCCAACCGGCCGTGCATACGTGTCAAGAAGTGCTTTCGGCACTGGGGCGTCGATCACGTAGTTTCCACGCACAAGCTTGGCGCGCTTGATGGTCTTGGTATAGTTGAGGCGCGGCGTGAAGTCGTCGTCGTCCACGTGCGATTCGTGCTGGGTATTCCTCCTCCGCAACGTGGCTGCCCGCCCGACAGACTCCTCGCCTATGTCCAGGAACAAAGAGTCGTCGTCGCCAAAAGGATCCAAGCTCTCGTCCGCCTCCTGTAGTAGATTGGTGTTGTAGTCATTCGTCTCGAGAGGCGCCATTGAGTGCCGCGGGTTTTCGGCAAACATGCCCGGCTCATGCGCAAAAAGCTCTGTTTGCGCGTCACCTAGCATGCTGTTGCGACTGTAGGCGAGGGCAGGATACTCGAGCCCATAGGGCATCTGCTGGGCCGGGTGCTCGGAGAAAGTCAGCATGCGGCTATCAGCAAAACGCACGCCCGCAGACCTGGCCGGCTCGCCAAGTCGCACGCTGCTGTTTTTTGTCAGTCCACTGACTGCAGAGCCGCCGTAGAGGCTACCCCCGAGCTTTTCATAGAATGTGTCCTCGTCGTCCTGTGAGCTCGCGGCGACCCCGAAGGTTTTCTCGCTGATGTTTGAGATGCTCCGTGTGTGCGCTGCCTGTGCCAGAACTGGTCTAGTGGGTGGTTGTGCTGGGCTCTGTGTTGCTAGCTGGGGCTTCTCGTCTTCGAAAAGATCGTCATCCAGGAAATCCATGCTTTATTCCGAGCCACTCACTTCGATAATGCGCTTTCAGGAAGATTCCGTAGATTCTGCGAAGCCACCGGGCTTAGAAAATGAGGTTCACGAAACTGAGGCACAGCCTTCAAAGCCACTTGTGTTTAAAAAAGAAGGCGTAAGATACGATCTCCACAATGGGTATGGAAATCCTTCTGCGTGACGTATTCAGCAACGATAAAAGAAGCGTTAATTATCGAAGCCGATAAGTCTGAGAATTCGATTTCCGTCAAAACTCGCAATCTCGGCACGCTATTTTTATTTTTCCCTTTTTAGATCCAAACTCTCTTTTTTCGCCCTTGGCAATGCCTTGTGAAAAATTGAAAGGCGCGGGTTTATTTTTGGACTGTAGTATGTTTGTTTTTTTCCTAATGCGGAAGCGAATTGATTGCGCCAAAGCTTAGCACGCAGTGCGCACCGCGTTACCGAGCAAGTCAGGCACAACACGCTCAGGTCCGTCAATACGTGGGTGAAGGCTGAGGAGATAGAACCCGACTCTCAGGTATCACCTAACATTTTCAGTATGCACAATCCCTCTTCACGTGATACTTTTCATTTTTTGACGCACTTTTAAGAAACCTTCTATTTCGGCTTCGAGTCTGGACCCCTTGCAAAAGAGACCAGCATGCAGCCACACATAGGCTGGCAACATTAGTATCCCATCTCTCTCTCTCTCTCTCTCTCTCTCTCCCTCCCT